TTTAATAATGTTCTTTAATAATGTCACAATTTATAGCTGACTTTTCTTGATTTTCGCAGCGGCACCCCTGGCTTACGCACCCAGTTTGAGAACCTCTGCTGTAATGCCTAAAACGAGTCAGCAGGCAAAGACCACGGCCGACTCAGACTGACTGACTGACTTTCTACCCCACTAGGACATCACATAAGCGATAAACACCCGATGACACAAAGTGCCACCATGTGGATGAGGATCACCGTGGAGAGGTCCCGGAAACCGCGTTAAGACAATTGGCCATATTTATGGCCTGCCTATATTGCGGCCCCTGGCAAAAGCCAGAGTGGGGATTCAAATAACAAAAAATTACGTCCTAAGAAGGACGTAAGGATAAAAATATACGGCCGATTCAGTCTGGACAAGGCGGTGGATAAACTTAGGCAACGGCAACTATTGTGTTAATGAGAGAGTTATTTCAGTCCATTGCAGTTTATGCAGAAATCACTATTCGTATTCGGCCCGACCGCCACTGTTCGGCCGAATACCGAATAGCTATTAGGTCCACTATTCGGCCCCGAAGCGATTACGAAGCGAAAATTCGGTACAGCCCTAGTTTCTACATCTGAATTTAGTTTAATTCTTTCTGTCACAGTGCTTGTTGTGTCCCTTTATATTCAAAAATATAATACTTTTAATGAGACATTCCTTAGGATAGAAGAAAAGTGTGTGTATTAGTGTCTTCTGCTATAGTCGGATGTGTCGGCCCAAAGGGGCAAATATCGCAGCCATTCTGTTAATTGACACAGCGCATTTAAATCTCCAGATGAATGCAGAAGAAGAAGTATCAACTATCAATCTGGGGTAGAAATAAATAACTTGCTTCAAATATTATTGTGTAACCGTGAATGTCCAACAACCCTCAGTAGACACAATAACATAATTCGTCATACCGTCATTTACTTCAGACGGTATTTTTAAATGTTCGAGGCAAACACGCTGCAATCATTTAGAACAGTTGTAGCTGGTCTAATGGGGTTTTGGCCCATCGTCAATGTCCAAGAGGAAAAATACTAGGTAGTTATAACTTCAGTTGGTGTAGGGGGAAAGGTCTACAATGACAAAATCAAATTCAGCATTCACAGATGGCTAGCTAATGTGTGTGGAAAGAAAGCAACCATGTCTTGCTGGCAAATCTTAACAGTTGTAAAGACGGAAGTAACAAGATACATCAGGTTACGAACAACGACCACAAACAAGGAACATACAAAAGCATAAAGGTATTAGTCATCGCCGGTGAATGGAGCACCTAATTCTGTATTGTCGTTAAAAAAAAACAGAAAGACAAACAGACTGACAGACCGACCGACCGACCGACCGACCGACCGACCGTTCGACCGACCGACCGACCGACCGACCGACCGACCGACCGACCGACCGACCGACCGACCGACCGACCGACCGACCGACCGACAGACAGACAGACAGACAGACAGACAGACAGACAGACAGACAGACAGACAGACAGACAGGCAGACAGACAGGCAGACAGACAGACAGACCTTCGACTGACAGACAGACAGACAGACAGACAGACAGACAGACAGACAGACAGACAGACAGACAGACAGACAGACAGACAGACAGACAGACAGACAGACAGACAGACAGACAGACAGACAGACAGACAGACAGACAGACAGACAGACAGACAGACAGACAGACAGACAGACAGACAGAAAGAAAGAAAGAAAGAAGAAGAAAGAAAGAAAGAAAGAAAGAAAGAAAAAGAAAGAAAGAAGAAAGAAAGAAAGAAAGAAAAGAAAGAAAGAAGAAAGAAAGAAAGAAAGAGAAAGAAAGAAAGAAAAAGAAAGAAAGAAAGAAAGAAAGAAAGAAGAAAGAAAGAAAGAAAGAAAGAAAGAAAGAAAGAAAGAAAAGAAAGAAAAGAAAGAAAGAAAGAAAGAAAGAAAGAAAAAGAAAGAAAGAAAGAAAGAAAGAAAGAAAAGAAAGAAAGAAAGAAAGAAAGAAAGAAAGAAAGAAAGAAAGAAAGAAAGAAAGAAAGAAAGAAAGAAAGAAAGAAAGAAAGAAAGAAAGAAAGAAAGAAAGAAAGAAAGAAAGAAAGAAAGAAAGAAAGAAAGAAAGAAAGAAAGAAAAAGAAAGAAAGAAAAAGAAAGAAAGAAAGAAAAGAAAGAAAGAAAGAAAGAAAGAAAGAAAGAAAGAAAGAAAGAAAGAAAGAAAGAAAGAAAGAAAGAAAGAAAGAAAGAAAGAAAGAAAGCTAAATCAAATAACCTTCAGGCAATAATCATTCATGCCACGTCTGTCAATGTGGCACTTTTCAATTACAAAATTACAATCAGACAATCATGATCGGGCGATTTCTTCAGGCAACAAGAGAAATGCCAAGATAAAAATAATTTAAAAAAAAAAAAACATCAGCAACAACAGTGATTGCAGATGAATCCAGTCTATGCATCATCGATAACAACAACTAGGTGGTGAACAGAAGCAAGATGGTCTCTTTACCAGCTCACCTAATTATCCAGAGCTTCCCTAATGATGTTTAGTTTACCTTTCGAAAACACACAAACCTATAGACAACATCAACTTTATCATCGTAAATCTTGTCAGTTGGGAATAGCTCGTAATTTCCTACTACATATCTCTCTCTTGGTCGGCTCTGTGGCTAAGTCGATGCGAACACTTTGCTTCGTAATGCCGGGATGCCAGGTTCGATCCCAGCTGCGGGCAATGCGCCTTGCGTTGGTTTCGACAGTGGTATCAAGAAAGCCGACCGTCCAGAAAGCAATGGCAAACTACTGGACGTAAATTTGCCTATAGAAACCACACAACAGCCAGGGGCTGTTAGGGTTGGTTCTGCAACGTCCTCTAGAGGATACGCAACAACCTTTTTTCTATCTCTCTCTTGACACCCACGCACACAATATAACTGTGTCTATATTGTGAGCGTGCACTGTTCTTGACTGCTTGGCAAATCATCTTGCGTATGCTTTAGGGGTATTCTAATCGTCTGCCTGTCACGCAGATCTCATTCAATATCAGTTTTTTTGCTTGCCACTTCTCTGTTTTCGTGTATTTGTTTATTTGAGTTTATTGGTAAATCAATTGATCACGTGCCGTCTCCTCATTTAAAGTAGGCTGCAATAGATATCCAACGCGTTCTGACTGTCTTCCTGATTGTGTATTCTCTGAGACAACTGTTAGTCCATTTCTTAGTGTTGTTGTCCCACCTGTATGATGTGTACCTTCTGATCACTTGCCTTCAGTGTGTAACTCCAGTCTGGTTTTTATTGAGGCCAAAATATTTCACCTATCTGTTTTGGGACTGAGGTATGTGAGACAACAGTCTGCGCCATAAAGTGGAACCTCTAGAATTTAAACCGTTATCTCTTTCACATTCCAACACTCCATGACGTGTGCCGTTGATAGTCATGTCTGTTCGCAACTTGTGTACTTTCAGTCATGCATTTATGAATGATGTTGAATATTGAATTAAGAATCGACATCATAGCAATCGGGACATTTCCATAATCGCTCCGTCTACACCTTCAGCAGCAAACGAAAAGTTTCGATTCCGATAGCACCAGTAACTGTCTGATTGTATATCTGTCTTGCCTTTCACTTGAGTGTTGAGCATAGGCCAGAACCACACTGTTCACTCGCTCCTAGAGAGCCCTCACAACATCTTGCTTGTCATAAATCCCTGCATTTGGATGCTGTTGGTTGACTGCATTTCTGCTTCAGAAATGACAAGCTGATCCTCAAGATACTCTTCGGACCCGTGGCGAACTCGATGCGTCTACACTGTCTTTAATGCCTTTCGGTAAATAGTAGTCATACGCGATTTTGAAATTCTAGTTGTCCAATATCTATTTGTGTGGCTTTTGAAAAGGTGAGTGACACACTTCACAGCTTCTTTGCGTTTCAATGTATTTCCATTTCTTTATGTGCCATGTCAATTTGGTATTCAATAGATTCCGTTTTCACTGGCCTTACTTACGTATTATCAGATTTTATTTTTGGTTTCACTCAAGTTTTTTTTTCTATGTAGCCCTTGACTTTTGGCAAGTAGTATATATATAATGAACATGGGGGGGGGAGGGAATATAGAAAGACCACATAAAAAAACAGCCTTAAAAAAAGATCTACTTATTCGACTCATTGGATAGAGCAAGCAGTAGAAACACACCAAATCAAGCCTTCCTCCCCGCACCCGCCCCCCCCCCCCCCACACACACTTCCCTCCCCCCCCCCCCTTCCTCCCACCCCCTCCTCCCATCACATACTTCAATGAAGTGGCTAGGGGTAGAGAACAAGTTGAATGTTGAATAAAGATTGGACATCATAGCACTGGGCCACTCCTATAGGCGTTCAGTCCCCATCTTCAGCAGCAAGCAAAGAGTTCCAATTCCGATGTTACCAGTAACTGACTGATTGAATGTCTGTCTCGCCTTTCCCTTGAGTGTTAAGTGTCGTTGACAGAACAGGTTTGACAAAGGTAGAATATTGTTTACTTTGTGAAATACTGCAACTGTATGAGCTATTTTACATGTAATTTCTTTAATACATCTTACACATGATGTTATCATGGTACCTGCGTTCTAAGACGTACCTATCTCCACTTCTTCGTTCGCATTTAAAAGCGCGGTTGGAACATTGTGTTGTGATTTACAGGTAGGCTGCGATATCTGCGCTTTTAGCTCCAACATATCCGATTTCAGCAAATCCTCAATTCTTCACCTTTTTTTTTTCTCGAAAACCTTTTCAAGGAACAGGAGGGGTGGGGGGGGGGGTCTATCTCCCCCCCCCCCCTCTTTTCCCACCCAAATGGGGTTCCCCCTCAAGTAATTGACATATTTTTGACAACAATGCGCACTCCCTGACTTCTCCTGTAAACTTCCGGCAACAACAAATCTTATCAGTGATCCCCAGTGCAGAAAACAGCATATCGATGACCATACAAGCTGCTATGCACCACGCAAAGGCTACCTTAATAAGGGTGCACAATCATGGGCAATTGTTGTCGTAGGTGCTGTTGTGTTTTAGATCGAAGGTACTTTTGTCATCATCCAATCTTTAAATTAAATTATTTTTGTTTTACAATGCCTGGGTGTTTTCTGGGACTCCCAGTGATGTATTAATATTATTATTATAAGAATGTTGTTGTAGTGTGATGTGTTATCTCTTCATTATATAATATACGAGACCTTAATATGTGGAGTGAGTTTGGAACTTTTCTTCTACTTCTCATTTCCTTTGATAATTGTCCAGTACTCATTTTATGTTTGGTTGGCTTCACTACTTACTGAACTGTTAGAAAACAATAATTCAATAATGTTGCATCTGCTGGGGATGTAACTACTGACACCATATTACCGGACACATGCACTGACTGCTGTAACTGTGCAGTGTTTCATTATCATCATATCTTTGCCAACCCTAATGAACTCATCACTAAAGACCATTGATTCTTACCCCGAAGAATGGATCTGCATTCAAAGCCACCATTAAAGCAGGTTACAGAATCTACATAGGTTACCCTAATGGATCTATTGAAAAAATATTTGATGCATGCGGGGAATTCTGCTCAAATTATGAAGCTGATATAATCGCACGGGAAACAGCAATACCACCTAAAGACTGTAATGGATGTTTACTCTTCAAAGGCCCAAAATATTGTCATCTTCACCGATTCAATGTCTGCTCTTCAAGCTCTGGAACTGACATAGCTAAGATAATTCTAGATTCTGATCAGCTCATTACCTCATACAACATCAGAATAGTGATGCAGTGGATTCCAGGCCACTCTGGCACACCAGGTAATGACAGAGCTGACAGACTAGCGAAGTAAGGAGCAACACAAGAACAACCACCTACAGCGACAACCCTACAGGCAGCAAAAACACTTATAAAAGCTATAAATAAAGAGACTTGGCTGAACAGATGGGCCATGGGAGATACTGGAAGAGAGGTTTATAGACACATGGCTAGCCCTGATCCTAATGACAGCATTAACCATTTAACAAGAAGGGACCAGGCCACCATCTTCAGACTCAGAACACAACATACTCCACTCAATGGACACCTAAACAACACTCCCCAGAATGCCAGCTATGTTAACTACCCCTACGAAACTGTTGACCATCATCTCTTTGAGTGTCCAAAACTCAACGAAACTAGAAGAATGCTACTTCCTCCGAAACCAGACAGATGGAACACCTTGTACGGAGGAAAAGAACATCTTGTGAAAACATGTAAATTCCACTACATGGCATTGGGCCAAAGGGCGAAAGCTCATGCGCTGCTGAATCAATAACAACAACAATAACTTTGCCAACTGTCACAAGTGAACATGCCTGTCCACAATCTGCGATCTCCAGCAGCATGCAACAGTTCCTGTGTTAACACCCCTCCATGCCATGACAAAAGGCTGTCAAGAATTGCATTGTCTTCCCCAGTCTCTTTTCCCGCAGATCTTTCTAGTGGTCACATAATGTTTCAGTTTCCTTCTTCTCATAACATAACCAAAGAATAATGACTAGTAGTCTTTATATCCTATCCTCTAAATAACGGTCCCAAGTTATCAAGGCCGAAAATATACCCTAAAAGGGCCTCATTCACATGTAAATTGCGGACCTCTTTCCGGCGACTATACCCCCACCGCCGAGAGTATCTCCTGTGCCGCTGCGCGCAGCGTGGTGTGGGGCTAAACTAGATGGCTGGGACTCCCAAGCAAATAAAATGAAGGAAGCCATCTAGTTCAGCCCTGCTCCATGCTGCACGTAGCGACACAGAAAATACTCTCGGCAGGGACTTTAAATCAGTGGAAGCTTTTCCGCGGTATGCTGTGTAGTCGCCAGAAAGAGGTCCACAATTTAAATGTGACTGAGGCCCTGTGAGGGTATATTTTTGACCTCGATAGTTTGGCACTGTTATTCGGAAGATAGCCGTCTTTACATATTAAACAGTTTGTAATTGTAAATTAGGTTATCAGTGGCTGTATATATCAATCATCTTTTTTCGTCTGGAAGTTTTTACTTTATAAATGTTTATTTTGTAGATTTAGAGGCTAGATGCTTACCTGAAGGTCGTAGGTTGCATTCAGCTAGATTATTTTAAAAATGACCATAGCTGTCCTGTCGACCCGACATAAAGTGGGTACCAGGTAAAGTCCTGGTAAGTAAAGGCAGACAGCGTGATGTTGACCACAGCAGCCATCGAGTGCCAATTGCTTTCTACTTATAGGTCTAGCACTATATCCCTAATACTCTTAAGGGTGTGGAAAAGGGTCTTCTATTGTTTAGTTAGTATGAAAGCATAATGAGTTAAGTGAAGCATGTTATGTAAGTTGGTACCAACATATGTGTGGTGAACTACTTACTACTGAAAGAGTTAACAATACATTTGATGTCCTCAGACAACCTGGCAATGATATACAATTTAAAAACTTTGTTTTATAATTTTTTTTTTAAATAAAACCTAAGGAGAACTGGCATATCACTGGTAGTCTCATACCTTTGACTGAGACTACTAGGTTAATTTTTTTTTTTAATTATAAAAGGAATAACAAGAGCATAAAATGAGACTCACAGCTGCGACAACAAAAAATGATTGAGAAATGACAGAAAAAAAATGTAACAACTGTACCTTGAGTACTGTGTCTGCAGTTGTTTCTGGAGGAAGAAGTATGGACAGGGCAGACAAAATGAATGTGTTGAGTTATAGAGACTTTCAGACAAAGAAGTCAGAGACAATGAGTGTCCTGATGGAAATATATATTAAAGGATGACAAACATGCCGAAACAGGTTGCTGGCTAAGACAGATTAAGATATGCCAGTCAGCTCCTATTTGGTACATTAAGCATGGAGACACTGAGATGTCTGCTGCACTGGAGGAATGGAGCAGGAATGGGTCAAACAGATGTGCTAGGATGTCATTACAAACAACAAGTAACAAGTACCTCATTGAAACACCCTCCAGTTTTGTCCTGTGTCATCTTATTTTTAATTCTCTTCTTCATATTTATGTGTGGTCTATTTTTCCCCCCTATTTTTATGAATGGTTCTGCTCTGAATCAAGTTAGGGAGTTTAAATATCTAGGAAGTATGATCACAGAAGATGGTAGAATTGACAGAGAAAGAGAAACCAGATGCCAGAAAGCAAGTGCACTTATATACCAATTGTCACCATTATTAAGACATCCAAGCATAACTATGAGTGCAAAGAGACAGATTATTAATAGCATATTCTTTCCAACATTAAGCTACCACTGCCAAACATGGACACTAAAGCCCATATACACAATATCACCACCTGCAAGATGAGGTGCCTGAGAAAAGCAGCCAACCTGACCATCTGAAATCGAGTGAATAATGAAACTATCATACACCTTGTACTAGATTCATCGAGAAACAGCAGATTAAGTGGTTTGGCCATCTCGTTAGAATGCCGCAAGATCAAATACCATCACAAGCACTACATCTCAGAAGATCAGCTACAAGAGCAAGAGGACGGCCGCGGAAAACGTGGATCAGCAACATTAAAGACACTCTACGCCTTCACGGCATGACAATAGCCAGTGGCAGCCAACGTGCACTGGATCACAAATTATTCCTCCCCTTGACGCTTAACGGCAAAAGTGGTTATGATGATGATGATTATGATTTTGTTTTCCCTAAATATGCTTTTATTCTTTTGACTTTGTGAGTTCAAGCACAAAGACATTCTGTTTACATTTTCAAGGTTTTCTTGGCGTGACCTGTCCGAAAGGAAAACATTTTGCGGAAACAGGACGGCAAAAAACTTTGATTTCTATCTCAATAAATGCTTCTTTTCTTCACCTCTTGGTTCACTAGAATCTGTTTGGTTCTCTTCCAATGCTCCACATTCAGGATTATGTAAAAGGGCCCTTTTCCATGCCTTCACATGTATCGGGCATCTAGGACTAGGCCTATATTTTATAGACCAGTTGGCACTTGGTGGGTGATGTCAGCATTACACAGGCCACCTTTACTTCCCAGGACTTTACCTGTAACCCATTTAAAGCTGGGTTGACCTGGGAGGCAAGGACATTTTTTACCCAAAAAGTTTCAAATTCTGCTTGATATCAGTGAAGACAGGATTAAAATTCCTCTCCATTTTAATAGCTCTGACCACAGAGGTAAAGATGATAAATCTGTCACAGCATTAAAATCTTGCTCTAGCGATCATACTACACACCTCGCTTTGGAAAATCGCCTCATCCGCAGCCTAGGTGTTCTTAGTCCAAGTGGTATCAATATCCAACACACCTTAATCTAAATAGTTTTACTCTTATCATTTTTTAAATGTTAATTATTTTATTTTATTTAATTACTTTATTCTATTTCTTATCAGTATCATTTATGTATCATTAACATTTGTATTTCTTTTACTCCCCGTATTATATTATATTTTAACAATGCTACTGTTTATTTTTTTGTGACTATATTTTTTAGCCATTATTTTTTTTTAAATTGTATTTCATTTATTCCACATCACATTTTTTTTAAACATTGCTCAAATCATCCCTTAGAGATCTACATACTCTCCTCTCCTCGTTTTTACGTTTGTGTAGTTCACTTATGTTTGAAAAAGGCTGCCCGGCCAAAATGTTACGTTGTGTGTTTTGTGCACATTTTTCTGCTTTCCTATTTTGTTGAGCTTTTTGGTCAAATTTCTCTGGAATTCCTTTCGGTAAATGGAGGAACGTCGCTGTAGCTACAGAGTTGCGCGTGGAAGGCAACACAGGCAGACAGTTTTTTATCAGCTGTCTGTACTGGTGACAGAGCACTTATGGTTTATAACTGTGTGCAATGAAGCTGGTTCAAACTTTTTGCTTTTTTGATATACTCTCATCGATGCAGAAGAACAAAATAGGAGAAAGAATTAGGAAAAAGAAGGAAACGATGAACAGTATAAAGATCAAAAGCTGTAGTTACATCCCAGGACTGAACATGTTGAACACATCGAAGCTAAGATAACAGTTTAATTTGCTAGAGTAGTGATGGTATAAAAGTGTGCTTGTACATTTTTCTTGTTTCAGGAAATATCTTCAGTCAAAGTACACCGCAGAGCAAGAATTTTCAATTGAGGTTTGTTGCTATTATTATCATCATCATTATCATCATCATAGCATTATCAAGTGTTTTGCTGACTGACAGTGTCAGTTATACTTCTACACAGCTTGCGGTCTCCAGCAATGTATCAGTGTGCACACCAGTCCACCAACCCAGTTATCTAACACACACACACCAACCCACATACCCAGTCCCACCCACTCAGATACACTCACATACCCCCACCGTCCCAGCTCTCTCTCTCTCTCTCTCTCTCTCTCTCTCTCTCTCTCTCTCTCTCTCTCTCTCTCTCTCTCTCTCTCTCTCTCCGAGAGATTTTCCCACTGACATGCCTTTGATGTCAGTCAATGAAGTTTTTAAATATCTCGCTAATCTCAAAAACAGTAATGCATCAGGTTTAGATGGTGTGAGCAATAGGATCCTTCGTTGTACTGCATCAGTTATCTGCACGTCATTAACCTACATTTACAACCAGTGCATCGCCAAGGGTTACTTTCCTCCAGTCTTTAAAATTGCCAAAGTCTATCCTCATCTAAAATCTAAATCATTAGACAGTAGTATTCCCAGTAGCTATAGACCTATCTCTTTACTATCATCCCTATCAAAACCACTAGAAAAACACATTCACAAAATAATACTCCAACATTTAGATAAAAACGAACTTATTGTTGACAACCAGTCAGGGTTTCGACCAAAATATTCTTGTCATACTGCCTTAACAAATATGATAGAAAACTGGCATCAGAATATTAACGAAGATAAGATATGTGGTGCAGTGTTTATAGACTTCAAAAAGGCCTTTGACATGATAGACCACACTATTCTTATCCGAAAGCTGGTAACAATGAAAGTGAGTTCCAACCTATTAACAATGCTAACATCTTTTTTATTAAACAGAAAACAAGCTGTTTCACATAATAAATCTATATCACAGACTACTACTTTAAATTCTGGAGTTCCTCAGGGTTCTATTCTTGGCCCCCTTCTATTTGCAATTTACATAAATGATCTGCCCTTAAGTCTGTCGTCATCGTGCGATTTATTCGCAGATGACTGTACCATCCATTCAAACGCTCGAACTTGTAATATACTAGAGTTGTCTTTGCAACAAGAATTAAACAATGTAGTTAGTTGGAGCTACGCAAACTGCATGCAAATCAACATAAGTAAGACAAAATCTATGTTAATAACAACAAGACAAAAACTGTGCACTTTAAACTCTCATAGAACCCTTCAACTCTACCTAGGTAACACACCAGTAGAAAGTGTAACTGAGCCCAAAACTTTAGGTCTGATGATCGATGGAAATCTTACCTTCAACTCCCATGTGCAAACACTTGTTAAGCAAACTGCTACAAAGGTATACCAACTAGCAAAAATTAAAAACTTTCTGGATGAAAACTCTAGGAAATTATTCTATACTTCTCATATTCAGACCCAGACTATTGCTCCACAATATGGGATGGATGTGCAAATTCAGTCATCAAACGGCTGAAAGCACTACACAGAAGGGCTGTTCGTTTAATAGCTAACAGTCATGAAAGTGACTGTTCGCACCTATATAAAGAACTCATGCTATTACCGCTCCAGGAACGCCTACTATTCAATAAAGCTAAACTTATTAAGAAAATCATATCTAAAAATGCTCCATGTTACCTTTGGCCATTATTTAAATACACTGGAAGACATAGCAAACGCCTTAACATATTGCATATCTCTAAACCTAGAATAGACCTATATAAAACGAGCTTAGCGTACTCTGCAGCTCAGCTGTGGAATAATCTTCCACCGGAAATAAAAAATATCAATAACCCTTTTAGATACAATCGGAAACTATTTGATTATTATCTCACTACAGACTATATGCCACCCTAAAAAGATTATAGTATGTTAAGGCTTTGATGTATTTCTTATTAACGGTTTTTTTTGGGGTGGGGGGGTCGGGGAACTTGGTGGGGGTTGAAAACTGAAGCTTATTATTGTTTAAAACTGAAGATGTCAGTCGAATGCATTCCAATATTTGTAACTAATATTTAATTGGTTTTGATGATATTTATATTATGCAACCTGTAAGTCTTACATCATTTTTTGAATAGGCTTATTATTATACTCTTTAAAACGTTCAAGTAATGTCAGTATAAATTAGAGCACATTCCAGCATTTGTAATTAAGACTTAGATGTTGTAATTTTTTTCTTTTTTTTTCTTCTCTTTTTTTTTTTTTTTTTTTGGTTTCTTTTCTATATTTCTCAAATTTTTTAATTGTGCATTCCTCTTTTTATTATTATTATTAATTATTATTAATATTATTAACTATGAAATGAGGTAAAAATGAAACGTATGAAAGGAGCGGAGTGGAAGGGCAGAATGTTAGACGGGCCTGCGTGCCCAATTCTTAACCCTTTGAAAATAAAGTTTGTTCGTTCGTTCGTTCGTTCGTTCTCTCCTCTCTCTCACAAGCCCACTTCTCGTTTCTTTGAAAATAAAGTTCATTGGTTCATTTTCTTCTTCTTTTTCTATTTCTTCTTCCCTTTATCCATCAGTAGAGTGTAGATCCACAACAAACTGTTAACCAAGTTCCCCTATCCTTCGCTACTTAATGTAGTTCCCGAATGTCCTCCCCTACTTTTTTTTACCTCAGTCTTTAATTCTATATTTCTTCCTTGTCCCTTATATGGGATGGGGGGGGGGGGTGTCTGTTTATATTTTGGCTATCATTATTTTATAATAATGAGATCCGTGCAAGATATGCCAAGAATGTCAGGTGGTGGGCAAATTGTGAACAACCTGTGATAAGCTGTTGATATAGTTTTGATCGCTGAAAATGAAATACACTTGTAAGAAATGATGGACATAATTGAACAGCAGAAAACAGATGTAATGGTAATTACAAAGAAAAAGATGGACACTCAAAAGTGCAACATCAGTTTAAATGGGACAGTCATCAAGCAAGATGATACATTAAAGTAATTGGGTATAATAACAGCAGATGGAAGATGTTTTAAATGTAAAACAGCTCAGGCAAAGGCAGCATTTAACAAAACAGAAAATTTTTTATGCAGTCTTTTATTTTGTGAGATGGAGAATGATTAAGAACTATATAAATCCTATCCTGATTTGCAGAAGTGAATCATGGACAGTTGGTGGAAGTTGGAAGGGAAAGTTGTAGATATTTTATGAATGGAGAGAGGGGTTACTTTTTTTTTGTACTTCTCTCTTTCACATTGTAGAATATTAATAGAATAGTAATAAATAAACATGTGAAGCATTTATTGAGATAGAAATCAGTGTTTTTGCCGTCCAGTTTCATCAAAAAGTTTTCCTTTTGTTTTTCAGTTTCAAACTCTGATGGATGAGGTAAAACTTTTTTTCAACAGATCACATGTTATATCTTGTCTTAGCCGTGACCTGTTCTTGTCTACACTGTGAAAGCCAAAGTGCACTTTAAACTATTTAATATTCAAGCTCTTGTACATTGTACATTGCTCTTGCAATGTTTAAAAAAAGGTACAAGTAAAGAATATTTCAAGCCTGAGGTGCATTGGGCATTGATTGATCAGATGATTGTCCTCTCTGGGCTGTTGCCTAAAGGTTTACCATACTTTCCTGAGATTTACAACAAATCTCAGGATGAAAGATAAGCAAGACAGATACCAGTTAGCCTGTTCAGCCTCCAGAGAAGTTACAATTAGGGCACCTATAACGACTACACTGACCTAATGTAACCTGCAGTCATGTGCGGGTAAGGATGACACTGGACATAAGTATTTATAGACCATTCAGTACTTGATGAATGTATGGCTAACATCATGCTGGTTGTCTCACGTCCGAGGACATTTTCTGTTACCCCTTTTACTTGTGATCGACCTGAAAGCCCAATTGTTGTTTTTTTTAACCTCTGTCTTGTTACAGGTTTAAACCTATAGTTAGTAAGCAGGTGTGCTAGTCACTGCAATGTCTTGACTGTTCTTGCATTGTACACTGTATTTAATGAATTAATCCAGCAAACTCATCAAAACTATTCTGTGTTGTCAAACATAGGCTCTCTTTGCTAGATTTTAAAACATGATTAGTACAATTATTTCTGCTGGATTGTTGAAGTTTGGGGTTTTTTGTTTGCATGAAATCTTTGGGCAGTGACCACTACGCCTGTATAACAGCTTTGTTACTGGATACAACTGCACCCTGTTCAGACATGGTGGCTGTGACTATATATACAAACTGTAAGATATTATTTTGTGTGGAAAAATATTGCATCTTTTACGAATGTGATGTCTTCATGATGCAGTAATAATCTCATAATTAAATTATTTTGCTAGACATGGCTTACACAACAGAACAATGTTTAATTATGGTCAAATTGAAGGAAAGCAGTTAACTGCTTGCTGCATTTGTAGTTAGTTATTTATTTCCCTAAAGTTATAAGAAAGTCATTTTCTGATATTTATGAATCATATTGATTGAAAAAACATTTAAAATCATTTTTTTTAGCAACTTGATAGCATGATGAAACAGTGGCCTTTATGTTTTCCAGTGTTCTGTGTGGTCTACAGGTTCAACCTCCTGTACTTTTTTTTTTTCCTGACCAAGGCCTACAATTTCTTCTGCTTTTTCTACTCTTCTGCTAGTTTCTTCGTGTAGAGAATTATAAGAATGCATTTTTTGCTGAAACAAATTTGAAAAAAAATCATGTTTTAACTTTTTATGAGGTAAAAGGGTTAATACATTTGTTCCTGCTGGCTTTTGAAAATAGTTTGTTAAGAGAAAGATTGATTTCATGGGAAAGAACTCTAAAAATCTTCTTCGTTTATCTTGAAAAAGCCTTTGATATCCTGTAACACACTTTGTAAGCTCTGAGGACAAATAACAATAGGAATGTCATTCCTGAGATTTGTGGACAGTTTGTACATTAAACAGGAAGCAGTTTTATCAGTGAAAAATTGAAACCCAGAAGCGCACCAGCTTTAAGAAAAGAGGGATGTTTGCTTCCACTGGAAATCTTTTTATAAATGCACAGACAGGTATAGAGTAAGGTGCCTAACACAAGTGCCTACTGGTCCAGTAGTCATTTTCTTGAATGTCCTTTAGGACATGTATTTTATTTTATTGATCTGTCCCCAGGATAGCTAAGTGAAATGAGTACAGAATTTTTTATCGGAAGTAAAGCAGCTAGCATAATATACATCACAGCGCCCATCAAATACTAATTGATTTTGTAGTTTTTTCCTTGATGTTGAACCCCACCAGGACATCACACCAAGCGATAAACACCCATGACAAAAAGTGCTACCATTGAAATGAGTATCACAAGGGGACAGGTCCCAGAAATCCCATTCAACCCAAAGGTTGGGTTATATTAGGGCCCCTGGCAACAGTGTGGGACTTTAAAACAAGAGGCATCCAACATTGGGACATAGTCAAGTTTTCTTCTGCATTCACCCTTTTTATATTATCACTATTACTTTTATGACAATATTTCTAGCCTTTCTTTATTCTATTGTATTTTGTTCATTCCACATCATCTTTTTTATAGTTTCTAATGTGACCCCCTGGTGGGCGCTGGTGGATGAAGTACTCTCCCCTTTGTTATCGTTGTGTAGTTAGTTAATGTCGAGAAAGGCCCCGACCGAAACTTTGATTTGTGCATGTTGTTCTGCTTCCCCATTTTATTCTGTTATTTTAGTCACAGTTCACTGGATTAAATTCATCCTTAAAGAATAGTTGATACATTGTGTTGGGGTGTTTTGAAATCTTTGTCTTTTGGCCAAACACATTTGATTTCAGCTAATCCTTAATGTCGTCTTTTGCAACATACTTGTTAAGGAGCAGTAGGTCTATTCTTCTTCTCCCTAACAAAGGGGCCCTGAACCCCCAGGGTTACTGTTGATCTAAAAATACAGGATGAGAACTACATACCCAACCCAGTGTGCTTCATGGCATAACAAAAGGATTCTCTATTTTTTTGCAGCTAAGAAATGTAGTTACTTTGAAAATACAAATTCCAAGATTCTTTATATAGAACACAAGCAGAAAAATTTAAAGGTCAATTGCTTTTATCTTCTGTGATATATAGGCTATGTAATAACATTTGATCAAATCTCTGGTATCGTAAGGAAGTAAGAAATCACTGTTTCCCAAGATGCAAGAATGAACACATCGTGAAAAAAAATATCAAGACAGGTACACCAAAAGCTTATCAATGAAATGTTGTGTGTGGCCAGTACTTCTGTATGAAACTGTACAATGAGAAATCAGATCATAAAGACGTTCAGTGACTGTGAAAGTTAAAGTTAAGAGGATCAGCCTCGCTGCACCTGGTGTTATCTCATGCGGCACAAATTAAATTCTTTATAGCTTCAGTGACAATCCCCAGGGATCATCCTAAGACTGCACATGTGAACTGAAGGTTTTTGTGAAATAAACCCATCACAAAAATGGCTTGACCCTTCGCCTTTATTTTGAGACAGGATGGATGCATTTTCTAAAAAAAATTGTGCAATACTTTGTATGCTGTTGTTGTCACCACCCTCTGTACAATTTACTAATGATAGACAGCAAAATAAATTAATACATTTTAAAATATACATTATTTTATAGCTTGTTCTGTTTTTGTAGGAACCACAGCGGAATGAGATGACAAGGTAAGTGCCATCACCTGGATCATCCATGTATATTTGTGTGAATGAACATTCATGTGAAGTGTATGTTAGAGAATTCACATTTTGTCACCTCATTACCATTAGCAGTCATGTTCTATTATACATCACAAAGACTTGCGGTCTAATTGTTGACTCCCTTGTCTCCTTTACAATCCTTTCTTCTGCTTTTTCAGCAATCACTGGTCATGTGCATAATCCACTGTGTAGATAAAGATGGGGTAACTGATTTAAATATTAAAATATGAATACAAAAGGCAAGAGGAGTTTTCATAAGACTAGGAAATTTATGGAAGTAGAAGGAAATTACAGCTAAAACTACTTAGAATTGTTTATTCTAAAGTCAAATTAGCACTGCTGTATGGAGTGGAAAAACGAATAACTAAAACAGTTACTAATAAACTGCCAACTTTAAATAAATAGTGCCTGCACCGAATAGAGAAAATTAAGTGGTATTATAGAATCACTAATGTTAAGCTTTGGGAGAGAACTAAACACGTTCCAGTGAATTAAGAGGTAAAGAAAAGACACTGATGTTGGGTGGGACACACATTGAGGAGATCAATGAACTAGAGGGGATTCAAATGAAAATCTCAAAAGTGTGGTAGAAATTAAAATAACCCTGCTATTTTCTTTTAATCCTTCAGTATTGTTGTTAAGCATGTCAAGAGTGTTAAGCATGTGACATCACAGTGCAAATGAACATGGTGACATCAAAATGACAGTTTAAGGATGGCTGCTCCACTTTGGATGCACACCAAAGAGGAGCAGCCTTCAGTATCCGTTTTTCGATCAGTAAAAGGTTGAAACCTATAAACATTCATCGGCGAATGAAGGTCCAGAATTAAAAAGAAAATACCGTTTTCTGCTTTTCTTAGAGATCATTTTCTGTGTCTTTTGTGAGGTATGCTACTTGATCATCGGTGCTTCTTTGTTATCAATAACACGGTTGAGCTGGTTCGAGTTTATGTTTGGTTTATAAGAACCACTGAGTCTAGTGTTCAGCAATGCTTTTTTTTTTTTAATTTTGAGTTTAAACCATCATGAAAAACTTTCTTTTGCTCCTTATTTACTATGAGCTTTCTTTCTTGTAGTTCCAGAGCACCAGAGTGGCTGCTTCCTTCCCTGTGAGTGGCTTTCCTTCTCATTGGAGACTTGTTTCCCCTTGAGATGGATTGTCATTGTTTCGGTGCTTTAATATGCAGTCTTTAATATTTTTTATGATTATCTGACACTAGGTTTCTCTCTATGACATAAAGGACCCTTGCTATCTTGTGTTGCATCTCATGTTTATCTGCTGGGTCAGTGTCCATGATGTCTGTAGCATCACACAATGAATTCTTACTGTGTTGAATTTTTGTGTGTCTCTGTTTACATTACCTGATAAAAGGACCTTTGATTTGCAGACAACTGCGCTCTAAACTCCAGCTCTGAGGCCAGTATGCAGCACATCATCAATTGGTTTTCTGAAGCCTGTACCAACTTCAGGTTAACTATCAACACTGAAAAAACTGGTGTTATCTATCAACTGGTTCCCAGAAAAAATTTACTGTGAACCCGCTATCACCGTAAATGATCAAAAGCAATTGATAGTCGCTAGATTCAATTATTTTGGCAGCCCCCTATCTCAGAGAATCAACATCAGTGAGTATATCAACGCTAGAATATCAAATCCAGCAGCAGTTTTGGCTGACTTTTTACCAGCCTCTGGAATAGAAGTAGTATCTCCCTGCTGACAAAGCTAAACATTTACACAGCTGTAATTCTTCCAGTACTGCTCTACGCTTGCATAATGTGGACTGTGAATCAGCTTCCGTCTGTTGTTCACACTGCTCATCAATTTTCCAGGCTCATATTGGACTGATCAGTCACCTTCGTACTCATAATCATTGATCATTACTACTTTGGATGAATGTGGTCTTCATCACGTGTGATGGACGAGAAACACAAAACCTAATAGATTTCTGTGCAGTTTGAGTCTACAGGTTCTTGAAATAATTTCCAGTCTGCTTTTTTGTTATTGCAACTTTGTGCAGTGTTTGGAGATTTTTCTGTGTTTATGACAGTCTTCACTGGCCTGTGGTCACTATCTCCTAACTGGTCGCACACCTGTCTCACAGATATTTTGTACATATCATCTGTTTCAACTTTTAATCATTTGCCTTGATGTGCACACTGTCTATAGTAGTACATGTGTGTGGGTCATCAGGGTGGTTGAGAATGGTAAGAATTCTGGTAATTATCCACTCCTCAAGATTTTCTTCATCTGTAATTGCAGCCAGGTGATTGACAGTTGAAGTCTCCCAAAGTTAGCAAGTTATTATCTTGAACCTTGACAGCTTCAGGTTCAGTGTGGATGGTGAGCAAAGTTGTAAAGTGGCATCTTAGTATTATTTAATTGGAGTTTGGCAACTATGAATTCAGTATTTGGCTAGTTGTATCTGTGTAATTCAACCTGCTGTTATTGAGTTATGAACCAGCATTGTACCTCCATCTCGATCCTGATAGAAAATTTGTAACCTTAAATATGGAATTTATTTTCTGGATTGAGTTGCATCTCTTGAATACAGATAATTTTGACTGTATCTGCTCACAGGACCTCTTCTATCTTCTAGTCTAGTTAACTCTTTTTGTTAAATACCCCTTCAGTGTTCTACTGCTTGATTACAAGGGTTGGAAGTGCGTTATAACAGCTAGAAATGATAATATCCCCTCCCCACCCCCAGCCCACACACACACAGAGGAGAGAGAGAGAGCAGTGCAGGAAGCCACAGGGCTGTCAGTAGCTAAGGGTAGACCTGTTTGAAATGTGAGACCAAGCCCCGCTTTTTCCTTACCCAGTTGAGGTAGTACCACATTTAGATAACTATTTGCACATAGTTACCCATATATTTTTTTTCCTCTCCACTGAAATTAGAAAACTGGCTGACACATTCTTGTTCATGAGCGAACTTTGATTGAATTTGCCCTTTAGACTTTGTTTGCCTGGATAGTGGACCACTGCAATCAAAACATTGTGAAAAGGTGTGTTAGAGGCTGCAGAATTAATCAGTCATCATTTGCACAACATTACACACTGCTCTTATGAAAAAAAAAAACTATTCTTCATTGGAACATTCACAAAGTAGCAGTCTTTGACAAGGGAACAACAATCAAAGAGAAATCATAACAACTGAAAAATAACAAAGCCATTGTTGCTATCTTTTCAGTGGAAGTCTAATCATTTGAATATATCACCTATGGTCTGACTTCTCAGAGTTTGTCTAAGAGTTTCCTCTTAGACCTCCTTGATTCCTCAATCCATTTGTTTTCCATTGGAATGCCTGTTTGGCAATTCTCTGTCATTGCTGTTGGGACAGGTGGAAATGAAACAGCTCTGATTCCCAGCCCACCAAGGATGGCAGAGTACCATAACTTTGTACTTGTTGCAGGCATTATGGTTGCTGCTCTAATTTAACTTAAAAGCCAGGGTGGAGCTCCAAAAAATGAAACATTATTGTTGAAGTTGAACATGGTGTATGTGTGTGTGTGAGTGTTTATGTGTGTGTGTATGTGTACAATTATATATATATATATATATATATATATATATATATATATATATATATATATATATATAATGTACATAAATACAACACTTTTTGTGTGTGTGTGGAAAAAGAAGTGCCCATGAAGTAGTTATAAAAACAGTATACCTACGATAAAAAGTGCTAGTGCTGGGCAACAATGCATACTGCCAGAAAAAAAAAAACTCTTATATGTATGTTTATTTTTGACAATGCATGGAAATGCTGAACATTTGAAATAGATTTAAAGTTTTTCCATAAGTTCCCACAGAGGCCAGCTAGCCCTTGTTGGCGGCCCATTCACAGTGTCTTCCTATGTCCAAAGGGTAAGTTGGTGTATATGAAAGTTGTCACGTTTTATTACCACAGTTTAGGTGTTAGATTTGTTAGCTGCTTTCTTTGTGTTGATGATGAAGTATTTGGAATATGTGTCCTTGTGCCAAATGTGCTTGACAATAACTGTTGCAACTTTCCAGTTTTTAAAACAGAATGTGATGTGCGACAGGTTGAATTTGATTTGTAAAAGGATTAATTTTGCTTGCATATCCTGTGTATTAAGATGCTTCCAAGACAGTCTACACTGTATCAAGAAATAGATCAACATAACACAGTCTTTGACTAGACAGCTAGCTCAACAAGGCTAAGAGACAAGAGCTTCCTTGTCATAATTTGTGTTGCATTATTTTTTCTTCATAATTTCAACTCAAGTGTAGCCACTACTATTTTCAGACATCATCATCATCCTGTTTTGCATTTATATCTATCCCATGAGGCTTGTGGTCTAGTCCTCCATTCAATTCTATCCTATGCAGTTCTTTCGATATTGTGGATAGAATTTAATCTAGCACCTTTGGCCTCACTCTTAGGATTTGTTCCTTAGATGTCTTTGTTTCCTTAGTTCCCATTTCAGTGACTGTTTAGTGGTTCTCTGTCTGCTTCTCCTCTGTTGCCGTCTTTGTTTTCTTTATTACTGTTGATTCAAGTGGTTACTTAGATATTTCTCTGATTTCGTCACTTCCGTTTAATTCATCCTATTTAATATTCATTTTTAATACTTTTTTCAGTATTAGTCATCTTCCCCAGTGTCAGTAAACATGTAATTATTTAATTTCCCATCTATTCAGCTCAGTCTTTTAAATTCTGCAGTAGCACACCGTGTCAGCCATTCATCTAAAATGCTGATTGTCTGTTTTTTCTAAATAATACTAAAATAATTGTTACTTCAAACTAGCATTCGATAACAAAAGAGTTCAGATAATATCTACACTGAGTGGAATAAACTGAGATAATAAACTTCAAATATTAGTTATATTGAGTGGAATAAGTTGAGATAATAAATTTCAAATAATAGTTATATTGAGTGGGGGTAAGTTAAAATAATAAAATCCAAGTAAAAGCTGTATTGAGTGAAATAAGTTGAGATAATAAACTTCAAATATTAGTTATATTGAGTGGGGTAAGTTAAAATAATGAAGTCCAAGTAATAGCTAAATTGAGTGGAATAAGCTGAGATAATAAACTTCAGATAATAGTTATATTGAATGGGGTAAGTTAAGATAATAAAGTCCAAATAACAGCTATATTGAGTGGAACAAGTTATATAGTAAACTTTAGATAACAGTGCCTTAGTACTGAATGAGGTAATAAAGAGAATGGAAACATACAGTGTAGTTTTTCTTGCTTCATTTAGTTGCGTGACACATGGCCCGCTGGTCTCAGCATCTCAGGTTTTAATCTGCATTGGAATGGATTTGTATAATTAACTTATGGCCGCCTGGCCAACCAGTCTAAAATGGGTTCCAGGAAATGTAATGGGAAATAAAGGTATCTGGTGTGATGTTGGCTATATCACTCAAGTGTGGATTAATCTGTACAAATGGGCATATGGCACCAAGTGTCTCAAGTGCTAGGGGCATGACCATGATATTTACAATTAATATATGCTTCCTTATTATTTTAATTTAACATTACTAAATGTAGATTTATTTTCTGTTGTAATTAATTGTGTCATATTTTGTTTTCTTCACTGTTATATTGATTAAACTTTTTGTTTCCTTTAATTTATTCATTAAATTCGTAGCTTGTTGTGTCTGTTTTGTTGAGTATTGTAAATTTTGTTGTACAAAACACTTTGTTTTGTTTTCATTATTGATTCACTTCATGTTGACTATTTTTTGTTGTTGTCTGCTTTTTTATCATTATTTGCTTTTGATTGTTTCATCCTTGTGGTTGCTTAGATTTTTGATGGACCTGAAGTGACATCTCTAAACAAATCATTTTGCTGTGTGAGAGAATGAGGGAGCAGCAGTGAAGCTAATTTTGCAGCTGAGGTAAACAGTTTGAGCCAATGTGTCGCAGACACTAACAAAACCAGTCATATTTCTCACAGCGTTCGATACTAACATAGCTTTTCTTTGTAACCCTTACCACATCTTTATTGTCAGTTTACTATCATCAGTCTTGTCCGTAGACATGGACTAAGACTTCCCCACATCTTTCTATCTCCAACGGCAGGTTTCCATGTCCTCCTATTTCTCTCTTTCCATAAATGCTTCTAGTTGTCACAGCTTGTTAACGTTTTTTTTTTCCAATAATGTGGCTTAAGAACATTATGACTGCTTCTTTCTGCTGCTTGTATGTCTTTGTCTAAGCCTCTTTCAGACCAAGTCGATTATATGACTGAAGTTGTTGATCTCCAAACAGATCTATTTGCTGTACTAAAGCATAAATGGAATAGCAGTGGAGCTGGGTTTGAGGCAGTGCATCACAGATATCTCCATAGACATGAAACCAGTCATGTTTCTGATTTCTATGGGCTGTTGGGCTTCTCAACATCTTGTTATCTCTAGCAGCAAGTATCAGTTCATGTGCTGACACTTTTACTGCCTGACTGCTGTTTTTCCATCTTTGATGTTATGTTCCCATCCTGGCTAGTATTTATTTTCCTGTATTCATACTTGTCTTAGAGCTTCAACTTGTCAGACAGACATGTGGATTTTTCTTAGGAGAAACCTCACTTAAGTGATTTTGTGTATTCTTGTTTGTAATTGTAACAGTGTCTATTCATGCCATTTGCTGATGAAGTATTTCTAGCCACAACATTTGCTTGTCATTTCTTTTACTGAGATAATGTGAAGCTTATTAGTTCAATTTTTGTTTGGTTACATCGGTTTTTTTTTTCTTCAGGTATTTAATACATAGCTGTTTGTTGTTATTCTTGCTATAGTTTTATTGTAAATTTATAACCACCTACACATAGCATGTTGTGTTGTGGAATTTGATGTTGTTTCAAAATTATCCCTGTGAATCCCTGTGTATTGTTTGGTTACCTGATGAAATTGTCTGAAAAACAGTCTTAACTTGTAAAGCCAATACACTAGCATTCATTCTCATTTCAGCCCCAAGAAAGATTTGCACTTATTGCAAAGAGATTAACTAACAGCAGGGGTCAACAACCTTTCTGTGGTGCATAGATGGATGGATGGATGGATGGATGGATGGATGGATGGATGGATGGATGGATGGATGGATGGATGGATGGATGGATGGATGGATGGATGGATGGATGGATGGATGGATAGATAGATAGATAGATAGATAGATAGATAGATAGATAGATAGATAGATAGATAGATAATATTTGTCTACATCAGAGAATGCATAGAGCTATGTTAATTGAAACCACAACATAAAATCAGATTTAACATATCTTTACAAGAAATGTAGAATCTTTCTTTTTCTTCTCCTCTCCTCCTCCATTTCTGTATACTTCCTCTTCTTCTTCAATCCATTACTGTCATGTGCAGGTCTGCCTGTGTTTTCTATGTCTTTGTCTTCTATCCTTTACTGTCATGTGTAGGTCAGTTGTCTTCTATCCGTTACTGTCATGTGCAGGTCAGTCTGTGTCTTCCATGTCTTTGTATTCTTTCCTTTACTGTCATGTGCAGATCTGTTTGTGTCTTCCATGTCTTTGTCTTATATCCTTTACTGTCATATGCAGGTCTGCCTGTGTCTTCCATGTCTTGGTCTTCTATCCGTTACTGTTATATGCAGGTCTGCCTGTGTTTTCTATGTTTTTGTCTTCTTTCCTTTACTGTCATGTGCAGGTCAGTCTGTGTCCTCCCTACCTTTGTCTTCTTTCCTTTACTGTCATGTGCAGGTCAGTCAGTGTCCTCCCTACCTTTGTCTTCTTTCCTTTACTGTCATGTGCAGGTCAGTCAGTGTCCTCCCTACCTTTGTCTTCTTTCCTTTACTGTCATGTGCAGGTCAGTCAGTGTCCTCCCTACCTTTGTCTTCTTTCCTTTACTGTCATGTGCAGGTCAGTCAGTGTCCTCCCTACCTTTGTCTTCTTTCCTTTACTGTCATGTGCAGGTCAGTCAGTGTCCTCCCTACCTTTGTCTTCTTTCCTTTACTGTCATGTGCAGGTCAGTCTGTGTCCTCCCTACCTTTGTCTTCTTTCCTTTACTGTCGTGTGCAGGTCAGTCTGTGTCCTCCCTACCTTTGTCTTCTTTCCTTTACTGTCGTGTGCAGGTCAGTCTGTGTCCTCCCTACCTTTGTCTTCTTTCCTTTACTGTCGTGTGCAGGTCAGTCTGTGTCCTCCCTACCTTTGTCTTCTTTCCTTTACTGTCATGTGCAGGTCAGTCAGTGTCCTCCCTACCTTTATCTTCTACACGTTGCTGTCATATGCAGGTTAGCCAGTGTATTCCTTATCTTTGTCATGGTTTCTTTTTGAAGAAAAACAAAAAATAAGAGGTTTGGGGAGGGGGGGGGGGGGTTCCAGTACAAGGACATTTCTAGTTATATTATTATCAGGTTTTCTCACAGTGTATCCTATCCAATGCTATCATGTTATCTCCTCACCGTTTGATTCACTCCAGTTTGTTTAATCATCTCTAAATGAAATAGTTTAGTGGTGCAGATGTAGATCCAGATCACTATATACTGATAAGTAATAGTCTGTTAAGAACTTAAATATAAGCAATGTGGCTTAGAAGTTAGTGAATGCATATCACAGCCTTGAAGTACTTTGATTCCATTTCTACGGTGGCTAACTTTTATTAAATTGACCGTTGATCTGTTTTTGTGTGGTTAGTGGTAAAAGAGTCAGACCATGGAAGAGAGGGGAGCCACACCACCAAATGTTGCCAAAGAGTTAGTGCACAATAAAAATCGGTAACTTATTATAAACATGGAAATCCAAAGCCTAGGAAATTTCCAGTATCAAAGAAGAGTGTATTAACACATGTTGTAATATTAACACGTGGGTTCTGGAGCTCCATTGTGGGGAAAACAAGAATAGATTTACTGTCTCCCCAACAAGCATGTTGTAGGAGTCGACTAATTGGGAACTTCCTTGAAAGTTGGGGTGCATCTGCCCAAGCGGCAAGGAACAACCAACTGCACACACACAAATAAGCCAGTGAACCTGATGTACACGCAAAACTCAGGCACTGGCATGAAGTCAAAGTCCAAATGGATGAATAGCCAGGACTTTCCACTGGGGCTTACAGCCAGTGAACAAAGATTAAGAAGGAGGAGGAGAAGATATGTTCTAGTAGGTGTCAGGTTCTGCAGCTGTAGTAGTCGAGGTGAGTATGGAAGACTGCTGACAAGGTACAAGCATTTGGAACAAATTGTGTTTTCAGTCTGCCACGACTGACTGACTGTTTTTCCCTCTGGGTCACTACCTGAAGATTTTGACACCCTGAGATTGCAGAATCTCAATCTGGATGGCAGAGCAACAGGATAAATCCAAGATACATTGTTCAGCCTTGAATAAAGTTATAATTAGAGTACCTGTAACCACAGCACTTGGCCTTTGTAACCTGCAGTCTTGTGCAAGTAAGGATTACTTATATATCTCTAAATATATATCTATCTAAAAAAAGACAACATTGCAGATGTAGATAATCTTTTTCAAGCGAACGAAAGAAGAAGAAACAGAAGAAAATATATTGATAGCTGTAGACTGTATGTTTGGTTTGTTAGATATCTGAAAATGTATTTCGTTTTGTGAACACCATTTCCCAGCTAGCAGAGCAGGAGCATGAAGATCACAGATTTGCTGCCAGACATGAATCTGTTCCAGTTGCTCACTTCAACAAAGAAAGGAATGCCACTGCCAGTGCTGCTATTAACAAAGCATGTACTGATGATGAGGATTGGGAAGTGTAAGCTAACTCAGTGTGTTGTTGTTCTTTATCATTAAATTATTGTAATATCTCCCCCACCCCCAGCCATGTGTGTATGCTGACCTTATACATAGGATTCTGACAGTGAAAAATAACATGTCATTCCTACTATTTATTACACATAATCAAAATAACATCTGTAGCATTTATTGACTAGAAACACAAAATAATTTCAGTGACCCCTCCCCCTTCTTCCAATCCCCGTGTGGGTTCCAGGTCTGCATTATGGGGGAAAACAAGAACAGACCCACTCTGTTCCCAACAAGCATGGAGTTGACTAACTGGGGACTTCCTTTGATGTTGGACTGCATCTGGCCGAGCAGTAAGGAACAACCAACTGCACACTAGTAAGCCAGAAAATGGAAGTACACACAAAACTCAGGCCCTGGCACAAAGCCAAAGTCCAGATAGATGAACAGCTAGGACTTTCTGCTGGGGCTTACAGTCGGTGAACACAGGAGAAGACTTACAGTGACCATGAATACTCTGTAATATATTAATTGTTGTCTGCCTAAAACAAATCCTGCTAAACCACATTGTGTCAGAAACCAACAGCAGCATTTATTGTCAGATGTGTGGTTCTACTAGACAAATTTACAGTTATTAGTTTGCTATTGCTTTAAGAAGATTGCTACTTTCATACTGTTGACAAAGTCTATGTAAAGTGGACTGCTACCAACTCTGTAGCTGACTTCAAATCCCAGTGTGTCCATATTGTAAAACTGTTCACAAACCCTAAGCCAGCAACATCAGATGAATACAGGAAAAGGAATTTTAGAAAATTTGATACTTTTTCTTCTTTGTTTGCCTTTGAAAGGGCGGTTGACACATTATTTTGTTTACAGCTGAGGTGTGATATCTATGCCTTTCAGTCCAACAGTCGAGCAAGCTTCTGATTATAATTAATTGCCGTTTATGACATGTTGGGGTATGGGGGGCAGTTGGTCTATTCTTTTTCCGCAAAATGTGGGGCCCTGGAACCCACACAGAGAAAGCTGGATGCTAAAGTCAACAATTGTGATTATTATTATTAAATTTCACCTGGTGTAAATTCCGGTGGAAGGTTCTGGTTGTTTGTTTATCCCTGGACTTTGGTCTTAATCCAGAACTTGAGTTTTATGTGCACATACATTTTCCATGTCTGGCAAATTTGTATGATAACTGTTGGTTCCTTACCTCTAAGACAGATGCACTCTGACATTGAAGGATTGCTTCCCCCCCCCCCCCCCCCTCCCCTTTCCCCTCAAATTAGTCAACTCCTATGACATGCTTTTTGGAGAGGCAATGGGTCTATCCTTGTTCCCCCTACAGTAGGACCCCACAAAACCCCAGAGAGAGGATTATGCATATAGCAAGGCTGGGTTGATCCTGGAAAAAAGCATTGTTAACACATAGGTGCCCAATTTAATTATGCTTTTTATTTGCATTAGGTTAATTACCAAGTATCTTGCTGACAAAATTATTTCTTTGAAAACAGAGCAGGTGGTGATGATGATTTTGAAATATTTTTGGCCAGTGTCCAGGCTAGATCATTGGCAGCACAATCTCAGGTGAAAAATGGTATGATGTTTTGATTGATGTTTCTCTTTTCTTGCAGAACATTGTGTCAGCTCTTAAAATAGGTTAGTTGTGTATCCTTTGCAGGACGTTGCAGAACCAACCCCAACAGCCCCTGTGTGGTTTTTCTAGGCAATTTACGTCCAATAGTTTGCCATTGCTGGATGATCGGCTTTCTTGATACCACTGTCGAAACCAACACAAGGTGCATGGCCCACAGCTGGGATCGAACCCGGCATCCCTGCATTACGCAGCGTTCGCATCGACTTAACCACAGAGCCGACAGCTCTTAAAATACTGAAGACATATTGTCATATGCTCGTCTGTTAAACTAAATACATTGTAAGCATCAGCATTACATTAGCACATCATCATCATCATCATCATCAAGTGTCTTGCCGACATGGACAGGCATGCTTCTCCGCAACTTGCAATCTACAGCAACATGTAGCCGTTCATTTTCTGACACCTTTCCAAGATATTATATCTGACCCACACACAAAAACTGTCAAGGATCTTCTTGCATTGTCTTCTTGTATCCCTCTTTCCATAAATATTTCCAGTTATTCAGCATGTAACACCACTACCTTAGTACACACAAAATAATGTCCCAGAATAATGTGACAGATTTTTTTTTTTAATCAGATAAGTTATTATTTTGTTATATATCTTGTTGACATATTGTTTTCAGTTTAAAGATGTGACATTTAAAGAAAATAATTGCTTTATCTAAGAACTGTTTAGATAGAATGTGAAGCATTTAAAAAAAAATATTACAGGTAGAAAAATTCTCTTATTGGCAAGTTAAATGTGATCTATTTTTCTGTGATATTTGGACAATGAATAGTAAAATAGTGATTAAAGTAATGATTGTAGAAATTTATTTTTTTCAGAAGACCATAGGCAATATAATCTACAACAATGAAAATAAATTCTGAATTGTTGACATCTGCGTGTGTCACAGTTCGATCATCACAGCCGTCAGACAAATACAAGTTAAATGTGTAGGGCATGTCAATAAGCAAGGGACACCCCCATAGGTGCTCCGTCCCGATCTTCAGCAGCAAGCGAAGAGTTAAAATTCTGATAGTACCAGTAATACCAATAACTTTCTGTATATCCGTCTCGCCTTTTCCCTGAGTGTCGAGTGTTGGCCAGATCCCCTTGTAACTCCTTGCAGTGCCTCAGTACTGATTACTCTCTCCTAAAGGTCTCTCACAACATCCAGCTTGTCATACATCAGTTCACCACCAGGTGGTGGAAAACCAGCCAGTCTATCTGCCTGCTCATTTCCCAACACACTATCATTGCCTGGAGAAAATTTCCAAAGATGCTAACTACCTGAGACCTTTGAAGTAATGCTTGCCACTCTGCACGGAGCATGCCTGTCTCCACCTTTTTCAACATGCTCTGTGAGTCAACAATGAGGGCATGTGTGTACAGCTGATTCTCAAGCCTGCACACACGTCCAATTGTGTCTTCAGCTTGTGTAATAGAAGCAAAGAAAGATGAGCGGGAAATTAAAAAATTTAAACAGCTAGGAACAATCAAGAGAGCTACTTTGGAAGGCTGCTGCATTGGAGGACTGAGCAAACATGGAAACCCCCAGTTTGCAGCGATACTGATCAAATAATGTCAGCAGTAACAACTTTAAAATTATAAATGATGGAGTCGTATTCACTTGTCTTCTTTTTACTTCTCCTAATATTTTGCTCAGGTGATGCTCAGAGCTCAAGTAGCAGTAATGCTGTTACCAAAGAGAAGAGCTTCACTGAGGGTAGCTCCATTGACTTATCATGGGACCATGAAACAGGTATGTACAAAACACATACGCCAGAAAATTGGGCCTCTTCAATCACTCTGTACTTATATATATATATATATACATATACATACATACATACATACATACATACATACATACATACATACATACATACATACATACATACATACATACATACATACATACATACATACATACATACATACATACATACATACATACATACATACATACATACATACATACATACATACATACATACATACATACATACATACATACATACATACATACATACATACATACACATACATACTTAAACATATATATGTGTGTATGTATATATAGCAAACCTGAAATAAATTATGGCTGCACTTCTGCATTCCTTCTAAATGCTCTTGACAACTTTGGAGGTTTTAAATGTAAGTTCTAGTATTTACTGCAATTTTTTTAACTGAAAAGGCCAGTTAATAAATATAAAAACAGAATTTTCAGTTCCTCATTTGGGGTTAAATTAAAAGAAAAGGTCTAAAGAAAGTTCTGTCAGCTGTAAATGTTAGGGATGTTAAAGACAGAGGGAGAAAATGCAAGATATTTTATTATAGCATGAAACCTGTGATTGAACCTATAACATATGTGACACACTCCACAGAGATATGATCATTTGACCTACTCAGCATGGCACAAGAGGATAATGAATGTTACTGTAGTGACCTTATTGATTCCCAGACATCTTGAATCTTCTTGTATCTCTCAGGAAGGCTGGTATTATAGCTGCTCTCAACTTTGAACGTTATCTTATCACAATCTTGTCACTGCACATTGGGAATTTTCATGCATGCTCAGTCCTCCAATACAACAGCCACTCCAGGGTACTTTTACTGATTGTTCCAATGAGAAGCTGGCTATAATGTCTCCTATCTCGACCTCGAAGGCACCATAGACGTGCTTTACTATGCTTTATGCCCATGTCACGCAATCGTGTTAGTGTCAGAGATTCGTCATTATTCACTAGCCCAGTCCGTACATCATTGATGATATCTGCTCTGTCCATGCTTTTTCTCACATGTGTTGATGCAATTGCTTGCCTGTTGGCCTGCTCGTTCATTACCCTTTACGCCCACATGACCAGGTGTGTAGATTCAACTGAGAGAGGTTAAGTGTGATTTTCGGATGCTTTCCACCCTTTCAGAGTGCACACCACCTGTTGCTATCTTTTCAACTTTATATATTAACCTTATCCTTAACCTTATCCACCAGTTCTGAAAAACAGGCACGTATAAGAAACCAATTTTTTTTTTTTAATTGGGTATGATTATCTTTTTTTCCTACTGTATGCTACCAGTATTGGAATTGGAGGACATAAGAAATAAAAGTAAAATTTTGATTAACAAGATTTGCGAGAAGAGCACTGGACATATCAAGGAGAGAAAATGTAAAATGATGCAGTCAGGAAAACACAAAGAGTACTGACAGTGCCAGATTTAGTTAAAAAAAAGTGAAAGTGTGACACCAACAACCTTTATGTTCCTCAAAATTTCCTGTATTTATTTAAGGCTGGTGAGAGCACTGTCACTACTCCCCTGAAATGTGTAGTAAAGGTCTCTTTTCCATGCCTTTAGGTGTAGTAGGAATATATGGCTAGACCTGAATTTTTATAGACCAATCGGTGCTCGATTGGTGATGTGGTCAGCATCACACTGGCTGTCTTTACTTCCCAGGACTGCGTCTGGTACCCACTCAAGGCTGGGTCGACCTAGGGGTCAAGGTTACTTTTGAGAGAAAAAAAGTATGGTTCTGCAAGGACACAAACTTAAACCTTCCTGTCTGCAGGCGGGCGTCTAATCGCCAACGCCACTGCGACTCCCCTCTGAAATGTGTAGGGCTGTTGCTAATTATTTTATTTTGTTGTTTTCTAGAGGTCTCACCCAAACGGAAAGTCTGCCAGCGAGTCTCTGAGGACAGCTGGTCTAAACCATCGACAGCCAGCCCCATGCATTCCAGCGACCTTGAGTGGGATCCTGACTTTGTTAGTGCTGAAGACAATGAAAGAATGCAGTTGTTGAATGCAGCCACCGGCCATATATCTTCTAGGTGATGTGGCCAGGTTGTAGGACATTCTCTGTGGAATCTCAACAGGGAAGTTGACAGAATCAACTACAGAAGGGACCCCTGCAGTGTTACCTGCCCCCCCCCCCCTTTTTTTTTTTTAAATCTTTGTCATAGAACAGATAATCAGCTCAGCAAAATAAATACAGCGACAGGCATAAACTCACAAGTATTGAACTTAGGGTTAATATACATTTCTGAAACCTATGGTGCTATTTTTGTTTCTGCTTCTGGGTGTGCCCTTGAAAGAGCAGTTGGTATGTTGTGGTTTACAGGTAGGCTGTGATGTTTGTGCCTTTCAGCCAAAAATGTCAAATTTCAGCAAACCTGCAGTTAATCATCTTTTATGACATACTTGTCTATATTACTTAGTTGCTGACGATAGGTCTAGGGGTGTCAAATTGGCTATACACTGAAGATCATTTGTTCCTTCAGTGAGGTGCTGCCATCATTTGGTGGTGTCATTTAAATCCCTGTTTTGTCACCGTTCACTATAGATTATTTTTTTGGGGGTGTTATTTACTGTTCCTGCATGTATAATAAAAAGCAATGAAGACTGTTCAACAGAAGTCACAAGAAGGATGGCCATAGAGATGCAAAAGATTAAATGGTTTGAAAAGCCCATGGTTAAGCACCAACCAGGAAATCAAGGTAAAAAATTTTAAGGTCATGCATCTTGCTGTAGCAGCATATAGATTTGAGTCATGAACTATCTCCAAGTCATTAAGGAAGAAAAATTGAAAGGCTGACATAAATCTAGGACTTGAAACTTCTCACTTCCCTCTGGTAACACTGTCTCATTATAGGACTTGAAACTTCTCACTTCCCTCTGGTAACACTGTCTCATTATAGGGCTTGAAACTTCTCACTTCCCTCTAGTAACACTGTCTCATTATAGGGCTTGAAACTTCTCACTTCCCTCTAGTAACACTGTCTCATTCTAGGACTTGAAACTTCTCACTTTCCTCTAGTAACACTGTCTCATTATAGGACTTGAAACTTCTCACTTTCCTCTAGTAACACTGTCTCATTATAGGGCTTGAAACTTCTCACTTCCCTCTAGTAACACTGTCTCATTATAGGACTTGAAACTTCTCACTTTCCTCTAGTAACACTGTCTCATTATATGACTTGAAACTTCTCACTTCCCTCTAGTAACACTGTCTCATTATAGGACTTGAAACTTCTCACTTCCCTCTGGTAACACTGTCTCATTATAGGGCTTGAAACTTCTCACTTCCCTCTAGTAACACTGTCTCATTATAGGGCTTGAAACTTCTCACTTCCCTCTAGTAACACTGTCTCATTCTAGGACTTGAAACTTCTCACTTTCCTCTAGTAACACTGTCTCATTATAGGACTTGAAACTTCTCACTTCCTTCTAGTAACACTGTCTCATTATAGGACTTGAAACTTCTCACTTTCCTCTAGTAACACTGTCTCATTATAGGGCTTGAAACTTCTCACTTTCCTCTAGTAACACTGTCTCATTATAGGACTTGAAACTTCTCACTTTCCTCTAGTAACACTGTCTCATTCTAGGACTTGAAACTTCTCACTTCCCTCTGGTAACACTGTCTCATTCTAGGACTTGAAACTTCTCACTTTCCTCTGGTAACACTGTCTCATTCTATGACTTGAAACTTCTCACTTTCCTCTAGTAACACTGTCTCATTCTAGGGCTTAAAACTTCTCACTTTCCTCTAGTAACAGTCTCATTATAGGGCTTAAAACTTCTCACTTCCCTCTAGTAACACTGTCTCATTAAAGGGCTTAAAACTTCTCACTTCCCTCTGGTAACACTGTCTCATTCTAGGACTTGAAACTTCTCACTTTCCTCTAGTAACACTGTCTCATTCTAGGGCTTAAAACTTCTCACTTCCCTCTGGTAACACTGTCTCATTTTAGGACTTGAAACTTCTCACTTTCCTCTAGTAACACTGTCTCATTCTAGGACTTGAAACTTCTCACTTTCCTCTAGTAACACTGTCTCATTCTAGGACTTGAAACTTCTCACTTTCCTCTAGTAACACTCTCAACTGATCTTTCCTGTTCAGTCAAGGAAATACTCTAACTTGTCTAAATGACATGGGGACAATACACATTCATCTCTGCTGTGTTTTCTCTTCCTACTTGTATACATCACAGATAACTAAGTCTCAAAATTTTGTCCATGAAATCATTAATCATAAAGGCAAGTAATTATATGTTTATGTTATCTTGTTGACATGTAGCAGTAAATAGTATTATACTGTAGTAGTAAATAGTATTGTACCATATTTGCAGCAACCACACCCTTTATATGCATGTATGTGAATGATGTTCTGGAGTTTTTTTTTTATAAGATGCTCCAGTGAAAGACTAATATGTCATTTTGTGACAGTCTGAGATAACGTTGGCATCTGTCTGATCAGTTCATATTTAAAACAAATAAAACTGTATCAGTTGTGGTAAATATTTATAAATATCAGTCAGCCATTTGAAGACAGCAATCGAATTCTAAATCGGTCGAGTTCTAAGCCAATTTTTCCATTTAACCAAATGGAAACTACATTTATCTGGTCCAGGGTCTAATAAACTCAAATTTAAAAATGTGTTTTCCTGAAATAGTACATCGGGTTAGGACCTTTGCTCTCACAAATTACTGCTTCAGAAATTCCATAGTCTGCAAGCTTCTTTTTTTGTTGTTGATCCAAACAAAGGTTTTTTCATCTCTTGCAAATTTTGTTATCTCCAGAGTTGTAACCCCTTTTGCTACATCAGCCGCTGTGGTAGCTGCATTTTTCACTAAATAATTGTACAAATAGTCAGTTTGGCCATATTAACCATCAGTGCAAGTTTACATTCACAGAAATCACTTTCAAGCTTGACAATAAGATTCTTTTAATGACAATTGCTGCTGTAACAGCTTTTCTCTTTGGGGTTTTTTTTTCTAGTGTGCAGCAGTTTTAATTATGAATTATTTTATGTGACACTAATTTTCCCATTTGTTTCAGGCTAATTGCAGTCAGAATACATGGGATTGTCTGTAGTAGGATTTGTTAACAACTACATTATACATCATTGTTTTTTGTGTGTGAGAGTTACTGCATAAGTAGTTTACATACTGAAAAAAATATGCAAGTATGTCTTTTGCTCTCTTAAGTAAACAAATTAAAGTAAATGGGATGGCCTGTCATCAAATCTTTCTCTGTCCTTATATCCACATTTGTGGATAACATTTCCCAACCTTTTAGCACCATCCATCTCTCATATACAACAAAATCGAATTCAAAACACAGTCTACTCTACCACCCTTTAATTGTAATTTTAACAAAATAGACAACAGCAACAGTCTCATTCTGGATGCCAAAGTAGGTAGCTTTAACACTTCTATCTTCCCTATTACAAAATTTTATGAACTTTATAAAGTGTCTTGAGATGTCTGGATAATCACAACACCACTAGATGACACAATCTGTTTTACTGTGTATATTTTTCAGTAAATGATGTCAAGTTGCATCTTGTGAGAATGTTTACATCTTGTGAGATTGTTTAATTTGTTTATACCAGGGATTTGGTGTTAATTTGTTTTTATGTTGTTTTGCTGATGTGTCACAAATTGTCATGAGTGAAAATGAATTACATAAACTATGTTGCAAACTGTCTGATCTGAGTTTGGAAAATTGATATTGATACCCTGAAAAACATTTACCCATTTCTATCATTACAGAACATCTTTGACTTAGAGGCTATAAGTGCAACTTTGTGCTGATTCTAACAACAGTATAGTATGAGTGTTCTCTGTTATATGTATACAGTTTAATTATGAATAAAATACTTTTTAAACTATACATAAAACAACAACCCACAGATACTTTGTTAATTGACACTCTAAAGTATGTGGATGTTTTCTCCAAGTTCTTGATTTAGGATGTTTCTTGTCATCTAATCACTAGTTGTTGTTTTTTTTATTTAGGAGGGGTGTCCTTGTTCTGTGTTCAAGGTTGGCGCCACCTGAATAAAGTTTACTATTTTTTATTTTAAACTATGCAGCTTTGTATACATTGGTATCTGCATTGAAGATGCCCAGTGATACAATATATAATAGGATAGGTAAATGAACTAAAGTTTCTAAAATGAATTGAACTCACAAATTTGCTAGCCCGAGAGAACATTAGCTGGCTTTTATAGGACACATTGTAATCAGGTTGGGAAAGAAAATTAACTGTTAAATAAAATCAGATAATTGAACAAGAAGACTGTGTCAGGTTGCTGCAGCAAGTTCTATGTAGCTTTCAGAGATCGCATTATCTGAAAAATCAAAATGTAAATCCACACATTAGATAAGGTCCTTACAATAAGCTTTCATCACAGCAACAACATTATAGTAACAAGATGGGTTGTATGATCAAACAGTAGCTAGCACCATTAGTACTGGAACTTCGCTAGGTGGGTTCTGGTGCCATAATCATTACCCCCTTACAAACATATTGTAAGAGGTTCGCTGAAATGGATGTGTTGCACCGAATGGCACAGATATTACAGACTAGCTGTGAAACATAACAAGCCAAACGCCCTTTTAAGGGTCAATGTTAAAGAATTATAAGAAGTCCTGGAACTGTGTTGGCTGCTGAAAATGTGGACAGGGTATTTATGGGAAGATTTTAAGTGTTGTGATATCAAAAGATTTACACTGAAACTGTGCATGACTGCATCTAAGCAAAAAAAAATTTTTATATGCATCCATAGATTCACTGTACACAAACTATGATTAGGAATTTAAATTGAGGGAGAAAAAGGGAAAAAAAAAGCATGCGCAGATACAACCAAATCTTTCAACCAGTCTTTATGTTTAAATAATAACTAGAAGAATCCTAAGCCCCCTGTGCACAAACAGGAAAATAATGTAGAGAAAGGGAGCTGGGGCTTAACATTCTTCTCTTCTAGTTGAGTTTTGAGCAGGTAAATCTACCACTTTACCAAGAAAATATTACTAGAATTTCTATAATACTATTTTTTAATGTCATTTTTTATACATGGGGGTAAATGACCAATGAATATTCTTATTACTATACTTATTATAGCAACAGTAGATTGCGGCGGCAATCTAAAAGTTGCCAAAGGCTGAGGACATGTCTAAAGCCACGTAGATGAGGAAAGCAAGGGGAAACTACCACACTATTATCCTAAGAAACGTATCCTGGAAGCCAAAACTAGCAATTTCTAAACACAAATGGGCAGATCAAGGCCACTTCATGGCCCAAACAGGACATACATTTGTCTACCCAGGAAAGGAGAAGAGCGGTTTGAGTGGGGTCACTTTTCTAATGTGAAAAACAAGTTTCATCAGTGCACCTTGGATACAATTTGATCAGTGAATGGTTTAGCATCAGCAAGGAAATTAAAGTCATATTTTGAGAGCGTGATTCTATTATGTGGCAACATACAAATGTGAGCCGTGGACTATCACTTAGTCTTAAGGAAGAAAAGAGCTTATGAGCTGAAATGCTAGGGAAAGATTCTCAGAATACCATGGACAAAGAAGACAAGAAATAATGACATTCTAAAAGAGTTAAGGAAGATTGGCTAATAAACAGCATCTTACTTCAGAAGCTTAAATATTCTGGTCATACCAAGTGCCACAGTGGATTGGGCAAAAATAATCACAGAAAGCGTGGTGCCAGGGAGGAGGGGCAGGAGCCACCAGCATGATATTGGCACAATACATAAGTGAGTCCTTCAGTGTGAAATTGCATGACGCAGGACAGCTGGTGAGTTTTTTTTTTAGGCAGAACATGATAAGAGCGACATTCTGCAAAAGACCTGCTATATGATGATAATGATCTGGTAATCTGGTAATTTTTAATTTCAGCTTCATGGCAAACGGGTCACCCCATCCTTGCTCCGCTCCTGTGCCAACGAAAAACACACAGAATGTTTATCACAGTCCCTTGTGGAAAGACTGACAAACTACTCTCTCAGCAAATCTAGCATACACTTGCATTAAAAGCATATGGTAGCCATCCGAAGTGCTAACAGAAACAGTCCAACGTTAGAAATGCAGTTCATCATTGATGGTAGCAGAAGTCACCAAAAGATCAGCAGTTGCACACGCGATCAATTTTAATCAAATAATGGCCCCACCAATATTGCGACAACCGGCATTGCGCCATTTTCTGAATCTACAAATCACACCAGCACGTTGGTCGGTCGAAAAACATTCCAGATGAAATCCGCAGCTCACAGTGTCACGCCACGCACTCAACTCATAGGCTGGGCAACGAAACTATATACTTCCAGTCTACAAATGGAGCAAAAAAGCAATGGCCACAGTCTGGCAGAAGCAAAAATGTTTGCCCCAGCTCAAAACAGTGGCAGTGCCTAGTGTCCATTTGGACCTGAAGCATTATGTGAGGGTTAATAAACAGTCACCCCAGCAGTACCCTCACTATTAGCTGGGGAAGGGATTTAGGACATTACATCCACCAGCAAGCCTCGCCCCAACAAGGACCTGACTGCCTTCGTTAACGACTGTTCACCCAACAGCCATGCAGTTATTTGGCACAGGGAGACACCTTGAACTTGGGTTTCGGACTGCCGACTCCCTACACGAAGATATGTGTGCTACTGGTGTCCCGTAGCCAAAATACTATCTCACTGTATTACTAAAATTCAGGACTGCCGTAGAAAGGTGCACCCAAGGGACAGTTTCAGAAAGAGATGCATACTTGTGGTATGGTAACATTGCTTGAAAAATGTATTCTGCAAGCCATAAGGGGTTGCATTCACATTTTCTAGGTTCTAACAATAGTAATACACTAGCGATGACTAATAATAATCATTTACCGCTCAGCCAATACATACATAAATCGGCCTAGACAGAAAGAGAGAGATGGAGAGAGGGGGGGGGGGGGGGGATCACAGCATAGCTAATTACAGCAAATGTATAGTGTTCATTGAGTCTTCTGTTTCGATATCCAAACGTGCTTGTTGTCAACCATACATTTTTTGCGTGCATCGATCAAGGCCTGAGAACAGAAAATCAAGTGCTGTGTCTCTACATTCATTTCTAGGTGGCCACGTGGTCACAGATGGAACTGTTGTAGCCTGCAGGTAAATTGGGTGCTTAGAGAATGTCGTGTTCTCAGGTGTATCTGGTGTTGCCTGATGAGATGTCATCGCGAAGAAAGGTGAAATTATCAAAAGAAGAGAATTCCGAGTGTCTGTAATTATTTCTTCTTCCATTCGTGAACCCGCCTGCTCCTTTGAACGGCGTCTAGGTGTCCGAAGGAACGGTTGATGGCCTGGTGTTCAAACACTGGTGTAAGATTTATTGTCCTCTTTCTGTCTCACACAGATAGTAGCGGGCAAGTCGCCTTGAATCACCGTTGGAAATACTGTGCGTATAATGTTCTACGTAGTTTCATTAAAGAATGGGATGGTCCGGATGCCTGTAGTTCGGTGAGTGAGTCCAGCAGCTAGCATTTCCCTTTCTCTATCTTTTGAAAAAGCTCAGTCCTATTGTAGTCACACATGTTTCATTTGTAAAGTGTGACACTTGCGGGACGTCACTCGGTTAGCCAGTGTTCTGGGTGGTGATAAATCTCAGTGACGCGGACAAAAGCGCCCACTGACCTTCACATCCGTGGTTCATGTGTCTGTATCATCGGCACATTTCCGCTCAAAATATGTTTGAGAATGCTACAAAAACCACATTTGCATGCAATCATGACATCTAATTGCGTGAAATAATATTTCACTGCACATCTAAAGGAATAACGATTAAAACGATAGTAAAAACGTCTCTAGTTCACAGGCACAGTTAGAATAAAAAATCCAAATAGTAAGAGCTAGGAAAAAACACGTCCTCTCAGTAGGGAGTCAGAGATGATAATGATACTTATCACCTTTGTTTTGTTTATTTTAGCTAGTGTCAATAACAGAAGGTTGGGGTGGGAGGGAACCACAAACGTCTCAATTCTCGTACAGCATTCAGAATATCCACACGGCCCGTGGCTAGTCAGCCCTTCACAGTAGCTTTACCTGCAAGCCAATCAGCCTTTTTATTTCCTTGCAGGCCTGCATGCCCTGGCACAAATATGGAACTGATGTGTCAGTTCTGACCAATTTAGAAACTCCAACCACTGTCTTTGGATCTAGCCCTTCTCTATCTTACTGGACACATTTACTGAGTCACTTAAACCATCCTGATTAACTGCATAATAATTCCTGCTTCCCTTTCAGAGCTGTTCACAGCTTGCTGGCTGTGAACTTAAATGGGGGTGTGTGTTTTTTTTTTTTGGGAACAAGATTCAGTAGCCAACCCTAATACCTGCTTTTTACATGTCTGGCAGAGTGCAGTGTTACTCTTTTGCTTACTGTTAGGATCTTGGCAACACACAGGCGTATGTTCACCTAATGTATGCTATACATCTATTGTATATTTACTGTGGGAATATTATGATCTTTACCCGTCTCTAAATACCCATACACACACACACACACACACACACACAAAAAGAAACTAAATGTGTATATATAAACATATGATGGTTGCATACCTCGTCAAACTTGTGAAACTGTCTGATGAAGAAGTCTCCATATCTTCTGGCTACTTTAGTGTCAGCTATATGAATCATATCCTGTAGAAATATTTATGACCATACATAAACTAAACATGTAACAACAACTGTCTTCAATAGGGAATTATACAGTTTAAAAGTAAAGGACCCTTTCAAACTTTGAGACATGCCAGGCAGGCCTCACCAGACCAGAAGGATGTGCAGATGGCACACTGTTCCTAAGCACATGTAGCGCAATAAGGACCCAGCACGGAGACCATTTTTATAAAACCAAATCTGTTTTAAAAAAAAAATTGTAAACACAATATTTGATATATTTACTTTGTACTGTATACTATGTGTGTATTTTTTTTTTTTAAACTGCCGTGCAGACTTGCTTGACGTAAACTTTATTTAGGGGTGAGGGGTGCCATATTTGTTTTGTTTTAGCACTTAATAATCTTCTTGCTGGCCCTGGCACTGGGCATGTGCTAGCCACAGATTTGTATAGACAAGTGGGCATTTGATCTGTGAAATAATCAGCATTGTGGCTGCCACCTTCACTTCCCGTGACATTTCTTTGCACCTATTTAGGCTGTAATCTGGACGCTTCCAAATCAAAGGTTTTCCATTCATTTTAACCCTGGCCCACCTGCTCTTTTCATTACTGAGAGTGACATAAAACACTGCGTATAAGCCATCTGTGTTCTGCAGTAGCGGTCAGCATACAATGCTTGTCAACACATTGGTCGTAGCTTCAATTCTCAATAGCGGCACAATACAATTTGCTTTCAAGCTTTTGTTTAGGGATAACCTAGCACTCTGAAATTGCTTTAGTGTATATAATCAATGTGGTGAGGAAAAGCACTAGCAGGGACAGAGCTGAAATAATCAATATAGTGAGGAAAGCACTAGCAGGGACAAAGCTGAAATAATCAATGTGGTGAGGAAAGCACTAGCAGGGACAGAGCTGAAATAATCAATGTGGCGAGGAAAGCACTAGCAGGGACAGAGCTGAAATAATCAATGTGGTGAGGAAAGCACTAGCCGGGACAGAGCTGAAATAATCAATGTGGTGAGGAAAGCACTAGCAGGGACAGAGCTGAAATAATCAATGTAGTGAGGAAAGCACTAGCGGGGACAGAGCTGAAATAATCAATGTGGTGAGGAAAGCACTAGCAGGTACACAGGTGTATAATCAATGTAGTGAGGAAAGCACTAACACAACTGGAAAGAAATATGGATATCGTACGGAATGGATTGGTAGATAATGACGAGCCTCTTACGCTAACCTAATCATGTGTCCTGCATGTAAAGCCTAGGGAAGAATGTCTATGCCATCTTTGAGGTCAAGAAAGAAGATATAACCAACTTCGTAGAGATCTCTTAGGAAGGCTGCATCTGAGTACTGGCATGCATGCGAATGCCTAAGTACAGTGGTCTATTTTCAAAACACAACATGAAGCAGAAATACCTGTGTCACGGAGTAACAAAAGCCACACGTAAATGTCGTATCTCAACAAGATACATACATATTATTGCTAACAGTCAAGTCAAGATGTGTACAAAGCTTGGAGGAAGAAAAGATGCTGCTGGTTAATATTCACCAGATACTGACAAGACGGAAATAGTTCTGACATCTTTCTGTTCACTAAGAGTTTCAATCTTCAACAATTTAGATCTTCCAGCGTAGAATGAAAGTAGTGTAGTTGTTTACCTTGTCAATGTAGAAATCCACTTCTGAAGCTGACTGGAACTCTCCCTCAAGTCCACTGGTTCCTTTACTCCAGACCAGGTTCTTCATCTTGTGCTGTATAAAATGTTCATACAAAAACACTGAATGATTCTATGTTAAAACATGCATGTCAATGACTGCTGTACTTCACATTCACAACTATCAGAAAGTACTACAGAATGAAACAAAATAGAGACAGTGGAAAGAAACGACACTGTTTTTATTGTACATTGTTTCAACAACAAAAAACGTGCACATAAAAATTAACAGCATATGCTCACATTCCCAAAGTAGTTTTATCACAGAAATAAATCTTAATGCAAATGTTTATCAGAAAACTACCGTCATAAAAACATATTCGCAAGTTCCTGATATAAAGTAAAAGGATTTATTTCCACACCTTCAGGTGTACTGGGCATATAAAGACTACACTTTATAAACTATGCAGCACTCGGTGGGTGATGTGGTCAACATTCTTCCAGTCACCTTTAGTTCCCAGGATTGTACCATCCCATATAAACATGCATGGTAAACTTAACAAAAGGAAAAAGACACTCTTCATGTCAACGAAGCTTCAAGTATTTGGTGTCAGAACCATATTTTTTAATAGACTATTCAGCTCTTGATGAATGATGTGTGACACCAGTAACCTTTAGTTCCCACAACATTTCCAAAAAACATTTCTTTAAAATAAAAAGCTAAAGTAACTTATAAAAGACGTGCCTCAAAGTAGATTCAAAACCAGCAACTTTGAACTTATGGACTTGGCCAAAGCACCACTGTAGCTACCTACATGGTAAGATTCATCATGAATAACAAAGCAGTCGACAAACCAAAGCTCACTTACCTTGAAGCACATTAGATGAGTGCACAGCTCGTCATCAGACTGAAATCAATTTTAAAAGCAGAAGCAATTAGTGATTCACCCCGCTACTAAACTGGATCATATTCCTATTATAACATCACTGACCAACTCTTTCCGTACCAGAGAAAAGTTCAACTGGATATAAATCAACGACTGGAAAGTGTCTTGCTACCAAAAGAGTAAAAAAGAATAGATCAGAGCTATTCAACTAAATCTATTCAGTGACCAAAATTGTGAAAATAGGACCATCACAGGCCAGAACCCAGGCTCAGAATGATCATTAACACAGTACAACTGGCAATGATTCTTGGGCTACTTTCTAGGCCACCGCGGGACAGATCTGTCCCATAGGTCACCAACTTAACAGCCCTGGCCTAGATGCTTTTGAAAATGAATCAGTTATGATAATCCCACACATGCAGCATATTTATTATTTAAAGCAGAAGAAATGTAAGAATTTGTTCCATGCAGTCAGTCAAACTGGGTATATGATGCTAGCACCATATTTGTATAGACTATTCAACACTCTATTATAAGTGATGTGGTCAGCATCCTGCCAACTACCTTTACCTCTCAGAACATTCCCTGGTACATATATAGCCAGTGAGGAGCAGCTGGCTAAACAGTCAGATCACTAGGCTCTTATATGGAAGACCAGAGTTCCATCCTTGGTGACAGATAAAGATTTTTTTAAATGTCAGAAACAAAATAATCTTAACCTGCAGCACATTTCATGGCAACTGCACAAGCCATGTAGTTTTAAATCTTGAGGTTCACCCTCGCCCTGTACTACACCATCAAGTGGTAAATAATGGAAATCACAGTAAAGACAGTTATGTTAATGCATTTTAGCAGGGATCAGCCTGATAGACCAGGTAAACCTTTACAAACCCCCACCTTGAGGAATATATGAAAAAAAATATGATCATCCCACCTGTACACGGGCAACATTCTTCACTTTGACAATGCACTTCTTTTCTATCCTGCCTCGTGCGGCGAAGGTCGTGATTTCATTTCATGGCTACGCCGTTAGGTTCACAAGTGCAATGTTTACAGAGATCTCTAGGGATCATCCTCGCAGCTCCAGTGTTTGTGCTGGTGAGCAACACTGAAGGCAGGCGGCTAGTCGTTCTAAGTCATCACAAAGCCATATGTAATCAAACCCATTGCAATAACGCTGAATGTTGATTTAACTTCTTTTGCATGAACTGTACACTTCAGCACTGTCAGAACCTAATAAACTACCCCTTTCTGAGAACAATATTGAACAAAGGAAAGAAACAGTGTGTTTTTGACACCAGCAATGTTATGAAATGCAATGAGTTTAATCATATTTTCTCTCTGCATGCCTCACAAAATCTTAAATATTGTAACTATTTTAAATTATTTTGGAATAAACAGTTTTAACAACATCAACACCATTCTCTTCAGATCATCATGATCTATTTGTGCATAATGTTCATTCACCCCCAAAAAGGCTTGACAACATCCAGTTGACATGCATCAATCGACCACCAAGTGGTGTAGAACCAATCCATTTGTCTACCTGTTTCTCAATATTCCTGCACTTCATGGAGAAAATATCCAAAGGACACCAACCAGCTCAGATGCGATGCCTGTCACTCTGCATGGAGCATACCTGTTTCCACCTTTCTCAACAAGCTGTGTGAGTCAGTCACGATTTCAAATATAAAACAATGTGAACAAGCTTTGTAATACCAAGGTAATGGGTTCCATTCCAGGGGGGCGATTTGACAGCTGACCAGCTTGTGTTGGTTTCAACAGTAGCAATAAGAGCCAATGATTCAAAGTGCAATGGTAAACAACCGAACATAAAGTTGGCTCGTGAAATCGCAAACTGTCTAAAAGTGCTGGGGTTGGGTCTGCAGTGTCCTGTAAAGGAGTGCAACTAACTTTATTTATTATTATTATAGAGCAACTAACTTGTTAGTACGGTCAACAAACACAATTTTATGGTGTTTCTCTTGCCGACATTACAGAATATATAACTTTTAAGGGGTATATATATATATATATATATATATATATATATAAATTCTTTTTTTTTCTTTTTGGTAGTCAAGTGCAAGTTGCAGCCATCATGAGTTGCTAGTATATAAATATTGTTAAGTGTCAGACAAGAGAAAGACCTCTTTAAATCTAATGTTCTCATCCTATAATACTTGCTGCCTACCGCAGGAACTGAGTTTTTCAGGGCCCTTTGAGAGTGAATCAACAGTGCAGAAGCACAAACAGATCTAAAGAGGATGGTAGAGCAGAGAATCTGGCAGACACTCAGCGAAAAGGCGAGATGGACGTACAATTAGTCTACAGCTGGTACCATGAGAACTAAAACTCTACGACTGCTGCTGAAAATAAGGACACAGCACGTATGGGAATGTTCCAAATGCTATGATATTGGTTCTCAGCTCAACTCATGCAGGGACTTAGTTAACCCCAGGAAACAAACAAATAAAATAATACATACCATGTCCATGAATGCAGCCAGCTTTGAAATAGGCAAAGTTGTGTACAGCTTCAAGTAACTGCAGACGACACATAATATGAATGCTTAATGAAGACACAGTGCAAAAAACAGTAGTTCATTCACATAGAAACTGTAACTAATGTGTCATTTAGAAGGTTTCTATGTTTAAAGGTATGTATGTGAACGTTAAGGGATATTAATTCAACAGTAAAGGGAAAGATTCTTTTTCACACCACTGTAACAGATATATGATGCTAAAGAGGTCTTTTTCAGATCAATCAAAACTCAGCCCAGTGTAACAGATTTTGCTAAGTTTTACACACAAGAGAGACAATCCTTGACTGCCCGATAGCATAGACAAATATCAGTGGAATTGATTTAACATACCAAAGACAGATATAAGCAGCTCCTGACAGGGCATATGATATTGTCATTTGGCATTGTCATATCTCTACACATGGGAAATAAGGGGAAAAATGTAAGACTCTGACCTTCTTGACACCCCAATAATGACAAACTGGGTTATAGGAGGGTTAGCCAAATCTGTGATGAATCCTTCAGAATACCAAGCTTTAACTGTGCCACTATTCATGGCATTCAGATCATCTGCATCTCAAAGAAAGTTGACATCACTACACTCAATGTAATCCAGTATGGCCTGGGCTCTCTGTCTCTTCCCAAAATGGCTAGGAGTGTCATACATGCACGAACTCCATAGCTCCAGCGATGATCCTCTGGATTCTATATAAAAAAAGCACTTGTGACCAAAACAATGCAGCCTGTGAAATGGGCCCCAGACAATTAGAGTGCATGGCAAGTGGCTTGCCACTTTGCCATAGAGACCAGGAATGCACGACTAAGTCTTTCACCAAAATCTCATCGCCAGTAGAACTGTGTTGCATAACTCTCCTTTCACTAACGAGCTCAGAATACAGTGGGTGTTTAAGGCCAGCACCAGAACTTCTGTGCGAGGCACACAATAGTTAGTAGGTCATGATTCAGCTCAGCTCATAAGGACTGGCTGAAAAAAGCCAATCTGATTCAAACCCTAATGCCTTGAGAGATGTAGTGAAGTATTAGATAAAAGAATAAGATGTTATGACATAAAACAAATTATACCTGCGAATGGTGGGAATCTGAATCTGCTGCTCCACTTCATCTTTGAAGACCAAAAGCTGAAGCTGGAAGGGCTCCTGTTGAGAAATATTAACACTGATATTATATCGCTCCAAGGAATCACAAGTAGAACAGTACAACTTTCTTACGCTGAGTTCAATCGCCCCAAGGGATCAAAAGTAGAGCAGTTCAACTTTCACACACTGAGTTAAATCAGTCATAAATTAGTGCATGACACACTAGATCAAGGCTATTTAAGTGGCGGCCTGCAGGCCAAATATGGCCCGCGGAGGCCTAACAAGTGGCCCGCTGATCACTGCCAATCATATTGCATTTAGGATCTTTCTATGCTGGGGCTCTGGTCCCTTGTCCCGTGACGATACCCATTTTCAATATTCTGGCACTTGAGTAAACTGAATTGAACAGCCCTGCACTAGAAGTTGTTGAGGCTCTTTGGGAACGATTGAAGAGCCACAGTTAGGTTATAACAGTATGAAGAGTACTGCACAATGGGGAGTCATCAAGGGATCTGGTCGATACTACAGAGGAAAGACAAGACAGGTATATAATCAGACTGCAGATGGAGAGCTTTTGAGAATGTCTAGTGTGCTGTGATGTCAATTCTTGTTAATCAGCCCCACTCCGTTATTAATTATCATTGAGATTTCAAACATCAATCTATTAAGCAATTCTTGTAATTTCTTGCTAAAACATAATGTTCAACCAACCAACCTTAAACTGAGTTTGCGCTCCAGTCAAGTCATAATTTGGTGGTACTGGTGACAAGAATTTGGGGCAAGCAAAAGCAAATGATGCTTCAAATTCTTGCATTTCTCTGTAAAACAATGGAACATGGTGAAGATTAGTTTTACAAATTTATGTTAAAAGATTTTCAATTGAGATGCAGTGGAGGGTGGAGGGGAGAGAAGAGATCAATACAGTAATGTATATTATGGAGAGAAAAAACTTTACCAGTAGTTATATAAGACAATCTAGATATCAATTTTCAGAAAAAGTTTATGTAAGAAAAAACAAAAATTTGTTATGCAAATAAAAGAATTTTAAAAACACTGTAATCTTCTTCCATTTCCGTTTGATCTCTCATTGTCAAGATAACAAGAGGCACCAAAGAAAAATAATGGTATACATAGTGGTAGTTATTGACTTTGTTATCTTCTGCCTATTATCCCAGACTACTGCCATCTCCTGCAGCTTCATTCACTTTAGATTATCATCTGTCTCTGAATTTCTATCCTATCCTAACAACACATGGCTATGGGTCACCAGTTGCTCCTGTCTTTTCAGGTTCCCTAACTCTGTCAGTCAGATACAATGAACTTTTAGACATCTGCATGTTTAAGGCCTGCACATTTAGCTCAAATTCTGTATCAACTTTTCTGATCTGCCTGTCATCCTCTTTCCCATCTACCAAGACCTTTTATAATTTTTCTACTCCATGTAATTTAGGTCTTCCTCTATTTCTTTTCCTTGCCTGTTCCACAAAAAGCTCTGTCAAATTATAGTTGTAAAAGTTATTTTCAACATTTATTTAGCGTCTTTTTTTTTCCACCTTGATTCAATGGAGCTTCTTAGGCATTTTCATGTGCGTTTTAGTGGTGATACTGCCATACCATTTAGCTGCATTTATCTAGTGTCTGCTTTCATATTTAGAACATGAGGACAATGGCTTGAGATAAGTCCAAATCTATCATTTACAATTTAACATAATTACAACTTTAGCATTGCCATTTATTTGAAGTTTTATATACAAATTATGAATTGATTAATCATTGTTATAAACACTAAGTAATACTGGATCACATTCATCCTTAATTTTTGTTGTTATTGTAGGTGTAGCTTGTATTATTCTAAAACAATTTTGCATCTGATTGCATTAGTTCTGTCTCTTTAGACATAATGCTAGAAAACAACAACCCTAGCATAATTTGGCTGTTTTTCAAGGCAAATTTAGGTTCAGTTGCTTGCCACTGCTTTCTGAATAGCCAACTCCTGATTGTTGAAATCAACGCAAAACAGTCTGCTGCCAAATTGAACAAAGATTGTAAAATACATTTTGTAGTCACTCTTACCCTTTCTGCATTCTGTTCATCTTGTCCTGGTACTTCTCTCTCAAATGAGAGTGCACACTCTCATCAATTCGCATGGGATACAGCACAAGACATATAGACAGCAGTGTGTACATCTTGTCATTCATCTTGCTGATCTGTACAGTTTGATAGCATAGTATCATCAAAATTAAACTTTCAATATTAGATATAGACAAAAACTGCTAAGAATACGAGAACCGGGGGTAAAGATTGGTACAGCCAAGCATGATAGACACATCGCTCCAGACGAACAAGAAGTCTTGTCCGCCAACATAGGACTGGCACTAATGTCTGAACGATGCTGACGAATGCGTTTAAAGGAAATATGATCGCCTGTGGATGTGTCTGGAGTGATGTGGAGATAAATAATCTAACTCATAACTCAAAAACTGATTTAGCATAAACAGATAAATGCTTGTTTAAACCTAAATACATATGAGCTAATATAACATGGATAGATAAAGGCTGATGTCACATGAATAGATATAAGCTGATTTTTAAAAAAAAAATTATCAGACATTTATAAATTTTAGGACATAACTGACTTTATATAAGTTAACTGCATGGCATTCTGTAACAACAAAACTACATAAATATATATATACACATTCACTAGAGACAGAGATAAAATGAGAAGTATGGCAGGCGTGTGCGCTATCCCCAAGCCTTTTCAATTTATCTACAGAAGACATAGAAGAATAATAAGCCATTTTAAATACGCTGATGATACAGTGTTAACGGCAGAAAGTGTGCAAGAATTAGAGTACCTAGTGGGCCAAGTAAACATTTTGTCTGGTTTGGACACTATTATTTTAAAAATATGCATGACAATTAACAATAAAAAGGAGTTGTGAACTCTTAGGTATGCTGAGATATCAAGACAAGCAAGTTTCTTCCATCCTGACATGTAATAATAGATAATGGAAGGAGTGACACAGGAATCAAAAAGAGAACAGGAATGGCCAAAGATATTTTCAACAGAATGCAAACAATTCTTGACAGCTAGGGAGTTAAGCAACACACTAGGAAAAAAGAACTGTCAAATGTTATATATACTCAACCCTGCTGTATGCTGCATAAACCTGAATATTAACAAGCAACTAACAAATCCAATCGAGTCGCTCGAGATGAGGATATACAGAAGAAGAGGTCATATTTCAGGGAAACAAAAACAATCAAATAGTGAGGTTCTAAAGAGATTAGGAATAAAAACATAGTTGCTGAAAGCAATTAAAAGAAACAACACAGATTTTCTGGCCACATAAAAATAAATAATACTCTTTTTAAAAACCAGTACTAGTGACAGGCAAACATTAAGAGATGGAAGAACAGCAAATCTGACAAGAGAAAGTGTGTTGGAGTTCCAGTGCAGCCAACCATCATTGTGTTGATTGACTGAGCAGCTAATAATTCTGGACCATATTACAGCTGTCAGTATGTTATTGGTGGAAGTATTTTTCCCCATAAAAGAATACACAAGGCAACATGGGAATCACCAGACCATAAGACAACTAATCAAATTGACCACATATGTATTAACAAAAAGTTTAGATCATCCCTTTACGATGTTAGGGCTTTCAGAGGTGCCGATGTATTTACTGACCATTTCCTGGTGATACGTAAAATCAAGTTGAAACTAAATAGATATATAACATCTTATAATCATAGAAACCAATATAATGTAGGCTTTCTCAGAGATAAAGAAATTAAGGAACAGTTCTCAGTTACGGTCTCTAATAAGTACTAGGTGTTGCAGCAGTTAGCTGAAGATGTCAACACAGAAGTCTGCTGGGATCAGATCAAAGGAATCTGGAATGAATCTTGTGTAGAAGTTCTTGGCAAGAAAGAAAGGAAACATAAAGCATGGATAACACCAGAAACCATTAAACTGATTGAAGATAGGAAAAGTAAAAAGGCAGAATTAAACAATAGCAAAACTAGAGCTGCTAAAGCTAGAGCTCAGAAGAATTACACAGAAGCCAACAAGGAAGTTAGGAGGCATATAAGGGCAGATAAAGTGAAATATCTAAATGATCTAGCACAAGAAGCGGAGACAGCAGCAGCAAAAGGAAACCTCAGAGAACTTTACAGTAACACAAGAAAATTAGTAGGTAAATATAGTCAGCCAACTGGATCAATAAAAAAATAGTCAAGGAAAGGTACTTACTAACACTAAACATCAAATGGACAGATGGGTTGAATATTTTGAAATGCTTCTAAATAGACCAGGCCCAGAGGTTCCCCCAGATATCCAGCCTTTAGAAATGGAACTGGATATCAACTGTGAGATACCATCCAAAGAGGAAATTAGAAAAGCTATAAATCTTCTTAAGGAAGGAAAGGCGTCAGGCCCAGATGGTATCCCAGCTGAAGCCATCAGGACCAACATAAACACATCAACAGAATTGCTACATAGATTATTCAGTAAAGTCTGGGAGACCGAAGAAATACCAGCAGACTGGAGAGAAGGATATCTTGTGAAACTGCCCAAAAAAGGTGATCTACAGGAGTGTGAAAACTATAGAGGAATTATGTTGCTGTCAGTTCCTGGAAAAATATTAAGTAGAATTATTTTGGAAAGATTAAAAGATGCTATTGATAAAATGCTAAGAGATGAGCAGGCAGGTTTTCGGTCAAACAGATCCTGTACTGATCAGATAGCCACATTACGTATTATAATAGAGCAAAGTATTGAACTGAACTCACCACTTTACATTGGATTTATAGACTATGAAAAAGCATTTAACAGCATAGATAGGGAATCTCTCTGCAAATTGATGGGGCACTATGGAATCCCACAGAAAATTATCAACTTAGTAAAGGCAACATATAAAGACATGAAATGTCGAGTTCTTCATGAGGGAAAGCTAACAGATGCATTTGAAATAAAAACAGGTGTGCGACAGGGATGTCTTTTGTCGCCTCTCTTGTTTTTACTGGCTATAGACTGGACTATGAAAACAGTAACTGCTAACACCAAGAATGGAATTCAGTGGACCCCTACAAAACAGCTTGATGATCTGGACTTCGCTGATGATATTGCTCTTCTGTCCCATTCACGGAATCAGATGCAAGATAAATTAAATATACTTAATGCGAGATCACAGCAGCTTGGTCTGAATATCCATAAAGGAAAGACAAAGATAATGAGAATAAATCAGGCAAATAGTAATGTGGTTTCTCTAAATGGCACCCCACTCCAAGACGTGGAGTCGTACACCTATTTAGGCAGTAATGTAGATAAAGATGGAGGAACTGATAGAGATATTAAAATGAGAATACAAAAGGCAAGAGGGGCTTTCATAGCACTAGGGAATTTGTGGAGATCAAAAGAAATTAAAATAAATACTAAACTAAAAATTTTTAATTCTAATGTCAAATCAGTACTATTGTATGGGGCGGAAACATGGAGAACAACGAAGGCAATTACTAATAAATTGCAGACATTCATTAACTGGTGCCTGCGCAGAATAGAGGGAATAAAATGGTATGATAGAATAACTAATGTAGAACTTTGGGAGAGAACCAAACAGGCTCCAGTGGATCAGGAGGTGAGGAAAAGACGCTGGCGTTGGATAAGGCACACACTGAGAAAACAGGAGAACAGCATAACTAGAATGTCTTTGCATTGGAACCCACAGGGGCATAGGAATAAAGGAAGGCCAAAAAACACATGGAGAAGAGAGCTGGAGAATGAGGTTAGAAAGATTGGGAGGACATAGGGAGAGCTCCATGTAAGGATAGAACGACTTGGCGTGAGTTGGTTGAGGGCCTATGCTCCATTGGGGGATAGAAAGGCAGAAGAAGAATATTACAGCTGTGTCACTCATAATGCAATATTTTAGTTCTCCCTTTATTTAGTGTAGTCAAAACTCTTTTTTTTTAACAGAAGGAGTAAGCATGGAGTTATCTGCAAACCCACAGTGGACTTTTTTTTTCTTTACGTCCTACTATTAATTTTGAGCATAATTTATGGTGTAGCAGTTTGTTTACTCATAGTAGTGTCAAGAATCACATGTTTTCAATCAGATTGTTGTGATACAACTCAGTATAATTTTTTTTTTATAATGTGAACCTGAGACAAAGAGAAAATTATCTGAACCAACATACATCAACAGTATGATCCTACATGTGTTGATGTCAAAATATAGATATTGGACTAAAATATGCTTCATAATTTTTTCAGTGAATTCTGCGACCAAGGCAGTAAACTGGTCAATAAACTAAAACTGGTTGTCAAAGGTGTCTAACTAAGGCTTAAAAAATGCTGAAAATGGATGTTCTGGGCCAACAAACACAAATAGTGTAGCCTAGATGTAATCTACAACGTGCCGACTGCCTTTCTAAGGGTGAGCGCTAAAGAAGAAGAAAACAACTAAAATATTATAAAAGAGAATATAATCCCTTCAAGACTACCCTGCCTAAGTTATTACCTGATCATACAACTGAGCCCTACTCTGGAACATGGTCTTGGTGCGCTGTATGTACAGCAAGATGTTGGACAGTGTGCGAATAGCATCCTGGTAGCGGCGCATCATCATGTAGGCAAACCCCACATAGTAGAAGGTGGTGATCTGACAGGCAGGTACCCTTGAGTACAGACTCTGACAAACACAGCAGATGAATTACAAATTTAAGTTCATTAGCAACTTTTGTGCAGCCACTGATGAAATGTGCCCAAAAATTAATACTAAAATGTAACAAAAACAACAAAACTAAAAATCAACATCATTATCAATCAAGTGCCTTGCTGACTGGGGCGGACAATTTTGCCTTAAATTTCACTTTCAAACAGTATGTACTAATCTGTGTACTGATATTGCGTTCAAAATTAATGCTGTCCAAACACTACAAAAAATGTGGTCCTGAAAGAGTTAAAAACAGAAGGCCACATCAGCTGCCCAATGAAAACAACAAAGTTGCCAGAAAGCCAGATATGTTGAATTAACTGAATGAATCCAGACTTGACAGCACAATACTGAGGACATCCTACACAAAATCTGTCTCTTCTTCCACAGTAGCTAAAGAAGAGTTTCCAGGCCAGTAATGACAGGTACAAGCTAATAAAACACCTGCCTATGTTTTTTGGCAATGAAAAAAATAAGCAATCACGTACGGTGAATTGTTTGGGTCAGAAAGAGTTGGTCTTGTTCTATTTTATCAGGTGAATTGTTTGGGTCAGAAAGAGTTGGTCTTGTTCTATTTTATCAAACAGAGTTTCTTTAAATGTCAAATAAACTCATATATTTAAAAACCAATTTTTTTTAATTACTTTTATGTTCTTAGCCCAACATGCCTTCTGTCAGCTACTCAACTATCCATCATTAACTATTCCATGAAAACGATTTTCAACATAGAATCATGGTGAGCTAAATAACATAACCTGATTCTCAAGTTTCCTTCTTGATAATAGTCGGTTTAGTAGCCAGATGTTACAGTGAAGTTCATACTAGAGACAGCAATTCGGATAAAGATAATTTATTTCAAGCGAACGAAAGAAGAAGAAAAAGCCACTACATATACTGATTTACTTTACTAATTGAGAGGTATTGCAGCCATTTTCTGTCTATCAACAAAACCCATAGAGTATCTTTCAGCTCATTTGTTACCTTCCCTTCTGCAACAAAACCCATAGAGTATCTTTCAGCTCATTTGTTACTTTCCCTTCTGCAAAACATTACCTATTTTTTTTTTTAAGGCTAGGTTGACCCTAGGGTCATTCTGATTAAAGAAAAAAAAACTTGCTTTTGCTGGAGGTTAAACCAGGACTACTATGTTTTGTAAGTATGCTCGCTGTGCCACCCACCGTGGCTCCACCATCTTCTACATTTATTTGCTACTGGCAAGACTTGCAGACTGAAATTAGACAGCCCATCACCGCAAACACTTTTGTCCAATTCTTACAAAACATGAATACTTTAGATTGGTTTTTTCCATTTCACAGTGGCTGGAAAGAAATTAAGGGGGCCTGTTAAATTATTTACCAAATATATTCTCAACTTCAGAATGTAATTATTTTTTTTTAAATTTAAATATTTATAAATTATAATCAGTTCTATGGTCTGACAAAAGGTATGAGATCCTTGGCAGGTCTCTGAACATAAGAGGGACCCATGGGTCTTAGCTAACTGGGAAAAACTGGTCCAGAATACTGGACCTGGTATAAAACTTGTGCATCTGTCTGACAAAATAGACAGCAGAATAGCATAAAATGAAAGCACCAACCTTCTTGTTGAAGTCAATGTTTTCCAGCACTTTCAGAGCCTGATAATAATCACCCAGTAGAGAGTGCAGTCTCAGCAGGCCCACCAGACTGAAGTAGCCCAGCATTTTATAGAGGGAGTGCCTGCCAAACTCTCCAGCAACACTGTCAGGGTCACCTGTGATGGTTATTTCAAACAATTATATTCACACAATGTTTAAAGTAACACATTTTTAAACAGTTGCTGATAATTATTGGCATGTGATGCTCATTTTCTTGTAGCAAACACTCATCTGTGTTTCTAAACAAATACAAACTGTTTAATCATTATCATCTTCTTCCACTTTTGCAATTAACCAATGCGGGGTGGCCCAGTGCTCCAAGAATGACACTGCCAATTGTCATTCTGTGTGAATGTGCAATGTCTTAAATGTCATCAATTTATCTGCCTCTTTGATAACCTCCTCCTGCTCTCTCTTAGGGTTGTGCCCGTAACTGTAATTGATATTGCTGTATATTTAAAACATGCCCAAACTATTTGATCTTTTTTATAATACAGGGTGCTTTTCTCAGTCTCACATCACCATTTTTATCACTTTGTCTCAGATGGTTAAATAGATGACTTTCCTAACGCCGCACATCATCTCAGAAAATATGTTTCAAAGACTGGACAATGACCTAGACTATCAATGTATGACCTGCAAGGACTGTCTGATCTCCGATACTACAGACAAAGGTGTCTGGATCCACTAACCCCTTGAAGGAATTAAAATGTCAATGAGACGGGAGTTCTAATTTTCTAATAAAAAGAATTTTTTTTAAACATAAGTGGTAGCATATCTGCTTACAACCAAACAAAATAACGTCACATTGTACCGGTGAATATTCTGGAGAAAAATGTTTACAACGGCTTCTATAAGGAGTGACTACAAACATACAAAAAGCAGCACCCAGAATGGACAGGCGAGTCTGCCAGAGAAGAAAAGAGAGATGTACAAACAGCAGCACTGAATGTCCATAACTAAAACAATATTTCTCAGGCGACAGCAAAGTTATACTACAAGTAAAGCCTCAGTTACCTCCACTTGTGTACACCTCCAGCTGTTTGTTGATATTTGACTTCTCAACCAGGGAGTGCAGCACATTCAGGACACTGTGCACGTTCCATATCTAGCCAAATAGCAACACATTAGGTCATATTCAATAATGAAATCTAGACTTACAAATAACACACGTTTAGATAGTGAGATAAAAATATCAACCACATCAACCGACTCATTTAACACCCAAAAACTAACCATGTTTACTGGGTAATCATATTAACTCTAGTTCTTTTCAGTTAGCTCAAATTATGCAAGGCATTTTTTTTCACATTTAATCCATGGTTTGTCTGTTTAAATTTAAGTGTGTATGCAAATAAACTTGTTGGCCGGCCTATTCTAGAGAAAAGGACGAGGCTGTTAGACTAAATGTCCTAAGCGATGCCAGGCAATTTGAAAAAAAAATTCTAATGGTGACTAATTGGCAGTCCTGACAGACTGAGAGCAGCAAGTAAAAAAAACCCGACAGGCAAGCATTGGCTGTATACAGGCGCCACACATTGAGAGATCTATGGGGAAAGTATTCTGAGCCCATATGATCTAAATGCCCAATGGTGAGGTTTCGTTAACTAAATAATTTATATATAGGTTCCCCCCAAAACTGCAATTAGTTATTACATAGGTGTGGACCTATGATGAGAACAAATCAAGTAATGTTGAGCCTTAGTCGTGCAAAGGGAAATGACTAAGGGATCTGGCCAACACTCCATGCTCAGAAAAAAGACAAGACGCACTTAAAATCACACTATTATTTGTACTATTAGAGCCGGAACTCTTTGCTGGCTGCTGAAGATGAGGGTGGAGTGCTTATGGGAATGCTCCGCAGGCTATGATGTCGGTTCTTAAAACTCAACTCAACTGAACCTCAGCCTCGTATCCTAATGGCAAGCAAATAAACTAATGCAGATATTAACCTTAAATTTATTTGAAAAATTCTATGAAGTTAACAGGTTCAATCAGTTTAATATGTAATCGTATATGGTATAACTGCCATGTTAATATGAATTCAAAAAACAAACCTTTGGGTTGGTTCTCAGAACTTCAATCTCATTTTCTGTCTTCTTGTTGATTGACTTGTGGCGGAAAATGCTGAATGCCTGGAACTGTTTACAAACAAATACCATATATATATTATGTAACATATGTATTATATTTCACTGGAGACAATTTCCAAAAAAAAATTGATGATAACAAGCAATTTGATTTTTTATGTGGAGAAAAATAAATATAATTTATTCAAGCCTTTACACATTGCAAATTTCACAACTGCTGTACTGAAAGGTCTGCTGCAGTGATATCAGTGGGATTTAGTGCACTTGCCTGGAAAGAGTGGTCTGGGTTCAATCTCCAGGAGATGCCTAATTTTGTTTATGATCGTAAGGTCCTAGGATAGACCTAACTTCAAAGAATCATTACCAGATCATTTGCTGGGAACTGTATAGTCAGCAACCGCCATGACAATAACAACTAGCTTACCCACCTCTGATGTCACATTATCTAGCATATGTGAATACCTAAAACTTCAAAACAAAGGGACATGGACCACCTTTACCAATTGTTCACTGAATTATGGGACCGACCTTATGTTTACTAAATGCACATTTACATATGGTAATCTACAACTCTGTCTGGGGAACTATCTCAGCATGTGCACCATACATGACTGAAGAAAAAGAGTCTGGATTTACATTTCTAAATTCTAGTAACAATAGTACTGGTACAAATGCTACACTGAGACAGCTGACATAAGAATCAGCAAATTCAACATCATCAGTTTAAGTTTCTGGGGCATTTTTTTGAGAACAAATATATACAGACTCTTCCTTAACAAGTATTCTAGGACAAGTAAAAATAGTTTGGTAAAATCGGACATGTTAGGTCAAAAGATAAGGAAATCATTGTCTAGTTGCAGACCACAACACAAGGTGCCACCAATCACCATTCAAATGTAGAGGAAGTCAATGTTAAGTAGTTAAAGTTTTTTTTAATTGTTTAAACATAAAACAAGATATTAAAAACCAGTGTCTGCAATGGTACAAAAAAGAAACCATTAACATGTAAAACAATGTTACATTTGTTATCAGACTAACATAATCATTTTGTGTAGGAATAGGAAGAATACAATATGAACAACATCCATCACCTTAAGAACAGTATTATATCAATATATCAGAATGCAGTTGTGATATATTGCACTACCAATATAATAATCTGTGAGGTGAAGAAACTAAGGAAAGATATAGTGACTTGAACCAATCAAAAAACATTCTTCAAACCATGTAACTGATATAAGTAAAGTGATAAGCATAGCAACAGTCCGAGACACAGAGTTGCCATTTAACACATTACCTGATAAATGAACTCATCAATGATGTCCCACAGCCACTGGTCAGGCAGCTCTAGAGGCACAGGTCCCTCTGCATCTGTAATAATACAAACATCCATACAACTTTACTTTTGCTTTATGTGAGTCCTAGAGGATCGTTTCAAGACCTTGAGGTCTTGTGGATATGTGGTGCTAGCCCCATATTCGTATAGACCAATCAGTATGTGATGGGTGATGCGGTCAACACTATAGTGACTGTCTTTGCTTCCCAAGACATTTCCTGAGGTGTCAGGTAAGCACTATTTGGGTCCTCAAATCTATTCTAGTTTGTGCACAGGTCTCTAGGACATCCTCTTTTTCTCATGCTTTATATTTCCATCCAGTATTTTCAGTAGTAAGTGACTGACTCACACTGTGACCAAGCAAAGACAACTGACTTTTTTTTTAAAGAATATTATTTTTACAATATGTACCAAAGTTTTTTTTTTTAAAGGTAAACATGGAACATTTAACATGCCAGTTTTAACTGTTTTAGAATAATCAGTGCCACAGGTGCTATCAATGCGTCATTAAACAAATAATTGTATCTTAAATTGTTAAAAAAAACTGTATACATAGTTACTAATTTTTCTTTTATGATAATTTTAGTGTATACAATAATAACACTGACATTGTCTGTGACAGATAAACACTAAAAACGTTTTAGGTTAACTGGATAGGCAGGGTTTCAACAGGTTGAAGTGTTTCTGAATAACAACACATGGGGCTTGGCAGCCAACAAACACCAATAACATGTGAATGAATGGCATCAAAATGTGTGCACAAACAAATATACATATGTACACACACCAAACCACATGCATACTTCTTGAAAGCAATAAAACTGGTGCTGTTTGTCCCTTCTGGCACAGAAAATAGGTTGTTGTTTTTTTTTTCCAGAAAGGGGGAGGGACAGGGGTGTGTGTGTATATATATATGTGCATGTGTTTTCTCTCCATTGTTTTTTTTTTAACTTCAGTATCTTTTTACTGTTACTATCTGAAATCTGTGAAAGTTAAATACTCTGCATTCAAAACGCTTTTGCCTGCAAACAACTATAATTATCACTGTGATTGTGCAAGTGAACATCTTACACTGCCTCATTCCTACACATTCCTAAAATGCTCAGTGACAAAGATCATACTAACAACCAATGAATGCAAGTCTCTGCTGTATCAAAATGTGAGCTGGGATACAGCAATGGCTAGCAGGTTTGCTTGCTAACTAAGTGGTGTTCCCTGTGTTCTGAAGGCTGCTGGTTCCTTTCAAGGCTGCATCGTTCCGTTCAGGAGTGTAATCTTTACAAAGGCCCCTGGAGATCATCACCAGAGCTACAGAGTTTGTGCTTCATGTGATGCTCTCGACAGGTGGCTAGCCATTGAAGTCGTTCTCGATTTTAACCTTTGAGCCTTATAATCATCACTGATACAGGGATTTTTTTTTAATTTCAAACGTGGACTATCAACACCAGAAAAGTTTACGTGGCTATCATGACACTGATTCATAAGATGCTAACTGGTGCCTAAGACTATAAGATAAGTACCATTTGCTTACCCTAAGATAGGAACAATCCTTAACAATGTGTTTCGCCTTAAATCAAAGCAATATCACTGTTTCTTACAGTCAGTATTATTCCACACAATTAAAATGCCAGCCAATCTCATACAAACAGAATCACAACACTGCACTGACAATAAATGTACTCACTCAGAATGTAGTTGAACAGATTGCAGTAGTTGTAGTAAGAGTCAAATCGTTGCTGCAACGTTGGCCCTCCCTACACACACAAAATAAAAAGGTTAACTAGATCAGTTTATAAACAGAAAATACATTATGTATGTACGGGGACCCCCCAAAAAAATGATAAAAAATAATGATGGGGTAGCCTCAATGATCCACGCCGACGGGAACGTATGTTCCTGGTAGGGTAACCCAAGCCGGACAGGTCATTTGTGAGGGGCCAGACTAAAGATGGCCTCCCGGTCCTCCATGCTCAGGGATTGGGCGCAGTGTTGACAGCACTGCCTTGTAAAAAATCTACAACGTTACTGAAACTTCAAGAGGAAATAAGTGCTCTAAACCTCCGGTGGTCTTGGGACAGAGTCCCTCTGTCAGCATGAACAACATAGGTGAGAGCCGAAAGGAAGGCCATGATGGGAAAACAAGTCTGCTGGATGTCGAAAACCAAATTAAGAAATGAAAGTGACCTGAGTGTGGCATCTTTGACATTGCGCTGAAGATTGCACAGGACATGAAAGCATGGAAAGTCCTCTCTGAAGACTCATGTGCCACTAGGCATAACGAGAACTGATGATGATGATGGTGTAGTTACAAGAAAATGCGAAGCAACTAACGGCTAGTAAAGAAAGCCCAAAAAATCCAAGGAGCTTGACAAAGGTGTTTCATCAGGAACCTCACACGCCTCTCCAGTAAGGGGGTGAGTGGTCATCACCCTTTTCTCCCCCTCTGTGCTTGCCACTGGTCGAAATGGAACTAAGTCTTTCATTTTGGCTACCTAGTCTTCTCACGGCATTTCATTTGTTCATTGTCCTGTTGTGCCATTATATGTCACACAGAACTCAGTGTACACCTCCACTGTGTGCAATCAATTCAATATCATGGATGGAATCTTGTCCAGCACCTTTGGTTTCTCTCATCGACATTCACTTTAGGATTCCTCTTGGACCTCATCTCTTAAACTTCACATTTCAGTGCCTGTCTGGTGATTCTCTGTTGGTTTCTTCTCAGAATGTGTCCAACAGAGTGCCAACTTCTCTGCTGTATAACTGTTGATACTTGTGGTTGCTCAGACATTTAACTTATTTTTCCACCCCCTTGAATTCATCTGATTTTATGGTTTTTTTTTTCCTCAGGCATCTGTTTTCATTGCATTTAAATTCAGTTCCATGACTGGCGGTTCTCCACCTTTCAAGGGCATATGTCGGAAACTGAAAATACATTAAAACTAAAAAAATATGTAATTTGGTTCTAAAATTAAATAATTCTGAGTACCATACTTTGTTTAATTAAGCCTTTAAAAGCTGCTCATGCCTTGCCAATGTGAGTTATAATTTATGTCTTTGTGTTTCCTTGACTATCAAGATTACTACCTAAATAAGAAAATTGATCTGTTACTTTAATTCTTGTTGTCTTGGGTATTACATCTGCTTGATCTCTTATCGGTGTCTTCAGCATAAACTGTCTTTCCATAATTTATTTCTAGTCTGTCTTTTAATACTACTTTTGCTGAATCTTGTTTTTTTCTTTGCATCTCATAGCTCTTACAACCATGTGTTCATCCAGTCAATGCTAGTGTTTCCAACAGCATTTTTTCACCCTCAGTCCAATAGCTATACCAAATAACAGGGCAGATAAAATACATCTGTTTCACTCATTTCAACTGCAAACCATTTTAGGCTGGGTTGAAATGGTAACAGAGGTAAATGTGAAACCTTTATTGAGATGAGAACACACTGCCACTGGATAACAGAGCAAACATGACAGCCACTGCAAAACTACCCCCCCCCCCTTCTTTTTTCTTCTGTAAGGGATTTTAGATGGGTATTGGTTATAGGATGGTTTGAGCCAGTAACATATTCTAGTCCCCAACTTCGACTAGACTACTTTTGAAATCCCCAACAATTACAAATATATGAAGTATTTTAGTGAATATCAATGGCGGACAAATCAAAACGCTGCTGCATTTTTTTGGCTGTTCTACTGGTAATGTCTATTTCTTATATTAGAAGTTAACAAGACTATCATACATTATATAATCCTATATAATCTTGGGAAATTTTTTTTAAAGTAGACGAATCTTTCCAGATACACAATTTTGTCTAATAATGCCAGTCATCTCATAAAAAAATATATATTTTAAAAGACAAACTTACAGAGACTCTGGCATACACATGCCGATAGTACAGCTCCTTGTACAGGATCAGAAAGCGTTTATCTGTGGAATAGAATGAAAGAAATAAAAGTGCTGAAAAATCCTTTATAATCATCCTTTAGATGATAATACTGCACTCCTGAAAGCCCACTAATCTATATAATATAGGACACCGTGGGCAAAGAAAGATTTTAATTTAAATAAATATTAATAACAAATCCTTCACTTCTATAATAGTTTTACTTTTTTTTTCAACGCAGGACTAAATAAAGCAAATCTGGTCATTTATTCACCTAACAGTACCTCTCTCCAAAATCTTCACTTTGCTGGAATGCAGTCCAATTATTATTACCAAGGAACGTATGGAAAACAAATATGATTTCTGAATGAAGTTTAAGATTTCTGAAAAAAAGTCCAACTCATTACACATCAACACTAAGAAACTGATTACCATTGCCAACAATAGGAATTACAGATTCTGCCTCAGGCCATGCACTTGTCTTGAAGAAACGGTCAGTCAGTTTGTTGAATCTGCAGAATAAAATCAGTACTTTATATCCAGCAATCTGTCAATTACAAAGGCCCATTATATGGTAATAACATAATGTTAACACGATGACACGACATGTGAGTCAATCCTGTTGAAGCATTTTATGCCGTTTTGGCATGGGAACAATCAGCAGAGGTAACTTGCAGCGGCTGCTGCATCGGGGAACTGAGCACTCAAGGGGAGGCCTAATGTGCAGACAAAGATTTAATCTCTCTACTGCTAACTGGAAATATGTAATTTAAAAAGAATGTAATGCAAAATTTATTTTCCCAAGTATATCCTGGTGTGACAAACATCCAGAGCTTTTTATTAAAGTCCATGCTGTGTGGCGCTGGTAGTCATGTCTCTCCTGAACCTTTTGTCTTGTGTACTTTCAATCGACTCTGACACATATGATACTCCATGCCATGATGTCAAACTGTCCAGCATCTGTTCTCTCGGTCTCCCTCTGCCTCTCCTCCTCTCCAATTTTCTTACTGTCACGATGTACTCTTCTCCTCATCACATGACCAAAGAATGTAGATTGTCACTTTCTGATGTGGGTAATCAGTTCTCTTCGTGAGTCAGTTTCTTTCAAGACATCTTCATTAATCTTTTTATCTGTCCAGGGTATTCTCTCTGCAGCTTATAAATAAGTTTTCACTAATTTACTAACTGTCCAAGTTTCCAATTCTGTGAATGAATATTATTTTTATAACACTTTTAAGAATTTATCTATAACTAGAACAGTAATGAGATTTATAGAGGGAAGCTAATTACTTGTTTCTTTTTCTTCTTTGGTTCACCAGCTGTATGGTCCAGCGGAAAGTTCTGGTTGTTTGCCCACCTGTTTTACAGATCTGACATGTGTATGCAGATTGTTGGTTCATCGCCTCTCAGGTAGATGTACTCTGACTGCGAAGAAAACCCCCCAGTTATTCAACTCTTGCGACATGCTTGCTGACGAGGCAGTAGGTCTATTCTTGTTTTCCCCACAATGGGGAATTACTTGCTAATGTCAGTGTGAAGAGCAACCAGAGACGAGCATGATCTCTACATATAAGGGTGTTGTTGGCAATTAAAAAGCTGACTGACTGACCCGCTCTGCTTTAGTTGCAGATGGCCAGCCTGTGGATCACATAAACATTGTTAATTTGTTAATACCATTTGAGAGATAGGATAATCAGAAGATTAAAGAAGCATTGCATCCATACCACTGCTAACAATATAAGAACTGGGAGTAACGATCAGTGTTTTAATTTTTATTTTCAAAACTCTGTAGTATTTTTGTAGCATATTATGAAACCCAGCCACCTTATTTGTTTATTATGTTAATCACAGCTAGGCACAAGAGGCACCCTAGATGTATGAGTAGTCAACAGCCTAGGAAAATAGAAAATAAAATTATCAGTGCAAGCCACAAGTGTGTTCTACTTGTCATATCCATAAGCTACTGCTTGTAGAAAGCTGAGAACTTATATATCCACCACACCCAGTGAAATAACAAGTGGCTTTGACGAATACAGATATCATACCCACTTATGGGGTTAAGACATAGAAAAGGGTCCTTTACCTTTACTTCTTTTTGCAAAAACCTAATAAGTGATCCCCAGATCATGACTGTATTGTATTGATGATGTTTCCAGATAGGGACTAGGGTCTCTGGCCCATTACCTATTCCTGTTTTGGCCCATGAGTAAACCTTTCATGTGTCTTACCCATTTTCATAAGAATTCTGAATCTCAGGCAGATCTTGCTGGTTGATGTACTTCTGGAAGTACAGCAGAAAGTTCTTGATCACCTCTGGCACGATGTAGCTAGAAGCATACTGTCGCTCATATTCCAGATCCTGGCGCGGATCACCTGACATGGTACCAAACAACTATATTACCAGAAGTTTAGCAACAGACAGCAGCATAACAAAAACAAACATGTTTTCAAATCTCACAATGTTCAGACATTCTTGTTAAACAATTGATTGATAAACAACATTACCGAAAGTATCTTTTCTAACCTTTTAACTTTCTGAGCACCAAGGAATGCACCACGTACAGGTAATTAATTTACTACTGGCCAGTATAACAATGCAAACCAGCAGTTTTGAATGGTTCTTCCTGTTTTGATATCACATATGCTGTCTATCTGATTTATTCAGAAATGTTAAAAGTATAAAATATAGCATGTTTGTAAGCTTTACCGAGTCTGTGTGAAAACAATATGGCCTCTGATTTTGTTCACGCATGCCAGCAAGGTTTATGACATTAAAAGACCCAAATTGAAATAAAACATGCCTGTATCAGATTTATCCTAAGTAGACAAAGAAAGCTGCGAAGTAAACTTGTTTTGTTTCAGTCAAACTTTGAAGTGGGAAAGCTCTTATATATACCTAACACAAAGCTTACAACGATAAAGTCAGCTGGTATAAAAATAATAAATATTAGTGAAAAGGGCAATTATTTTCTACAGTGTCAGTTAGGTCTTGTTTGATTCCCTTATTACTTGACAACATAGGCTATACAATTACACACAAACTGAGTGTTATAGAAAGTTAATTTTTGGGGCAGTGAAAATTATATTTGCTATTGGAAGACATTTTTTTCTTTTTAAAAAAATTATGCTCTAAAAGTTTCTCTGGAATGAGATATAAAAGACAAATTGTGTATATTTTTTATTTATACATTACTAAGTGGCTCATGATTATTTGTGATTTATTTTGGATATATTTTGTCAACCTTTCCTTGAGTGCTATGGTGGTAAGGGAAAATATATAATTTTACTAATTTCTTGAAACAAACCATCTGTTTATTTACTAATACATAACTGCTAACACGATTTATTTATTGAAGAGGTATTCTAATATTATTCCTCAACAATGCCTGGTCACTTTGATGTATAATATGTGTATGCTGCTATCTCTAGCAAGAGCTTGTATTAAGCGCCACTAACTATGGTCTTGGCCTCCTCACTGTCAGCAAAACCCAGCTAGAAAGACTGGACCGAGTACAAAATGAGGCCATGAGACTCATACTCAGCTGCACAAAAGACACCTGCAACACGATGCATTATGCCCTGGGTTTGCCGACGATGGCTAGCAGATACAAAGTCGCACATAAGGGTATCAGCAGACGTTAACCACTCACTGCACAAAAGGAACATGTCTCAAAAGAGGCCGCTCCTGGAAGGCAAAGGATTTAATCCAGCAGGTATGGGACCTAGACGTGATCAGTAATAGAAAAGAATGGACAAATACACCAGTAGGCATGCATGGCATCTTTAAGGTTGTCATCACACATGGAAGGTACAGCAGGGATCAAATTCCTGTGGCCATAGACACAAAGATAAGGGAACTGACAGATCAGCATTCAGACCCAAAAGATACCATCATCTACACAGATGGATCCATTAAGCGCGGATCAAGGTCAGCATGGGCATACACAGTGCAAAGAAGGGGAAAAACAATTTAGTAGGACAGAGTCGCTTTGTATGTGTTGTGCAGTTTCTGGCTTGTCCATTTAATACCCAGAAACAAATCCTAGTATTTAAACAGATTCTATGATGGCATGAATGGGTTTTTTTTTACCTTCTAATCACAAAAGTTTATCATTACATTTTTTCTGTTTACATAGTTTATGCTCATTCCTTTAGGTTCGTTTTGCATGATACATCTTCCACCTGCCAGTTGTGTATCTGAACACATGAATCTCTTTAACTGCCTCAATACTATTAAACTTGTGCATATGGGTAGGATGTTTCTTTAATTGTATCAGTACTTCTGTTTTCTTACTATTCAAGCTGTTACAAGTTGCACAAATAACTGTTAAGTATTTTCTTTAACTGTCTCCAACAATATTAATATATGCATGTAAATATAAAATCTGCTTTACACACCTGTATGAGACATGTCATAATCTCCATAGCCGCTGTAATACGGCACATACTGAAATTTAAGAAACAAAATAAATCACTGAATAAATAAAGCTTCCTGCACATTCTTTGCAACATATGGACGAGCATTGTTTTGCAACATAATCACACAACAAGAAAGCATGCAGGGATGCTTAGTTTTGATGGCTTTATTTAGCTTTTCTAGCGTTTCCAACTTATAGGTAGAGTTGCTGCTGACACCAGGTTTAGTTCCCAACAATAACCCTTAATGGTTTAAAAAAACAAAAGGTGCTCAGCATAACCTTACCAGGGGATTTTTTGCCTCTTGGTGATCCAGCATGCTTCTACAGCATGTTCTTGTTTGCCGCTGGGCTTAAAGTGATGATACTCCTCGGTCTGTAACGCAGCAAGTATTTCAAACACCATACCCCACACTCCTCATTTTGTTAGTAGGTCAACACAAGTGGTACTCACTGTGAACACACCTTCCAATATTGCAGTTTTTTAAGAGCCGTTTATGCTGTCCCATTAACCCATCCGATTCACTTTGTTAGCAAATGTATGCTCTCACAAGTTCCCATATATCGCTGAATCAATTTTGGTGTAAGTTTTTTCTGTTGCAACAATATGCATTCGACCCAGCCGTGGAAGATTTGTCATGAACTCATATCCTTTTCAAAATATCTGCGCTGTCTGTCAATGTTGTCTTTCACACATTGGTTATAACAACTCTCGAGATAGATAAACCTCTGATTAGAGAAATTTCAGACAAGACAGTTTTTTTTTAAAGACATATGAGAAAAAATGGACTTGATAGTTTGGTGATGATGATCACCAAATATACAAATTAAATCAGCCAGTCTTGTCCCCCTCTCTTAGTCCATTTATATTGCCAACAAACCATCTTCATCTAGATTTTATCTCTTACTAAGTCTTTGCTTTGTCTACTTTTTCCATATGTCTTAAATTGAAGGGAAAAAAAGCAATAAAGATAAAACTTTTAACGCTTTGACTCCCAGGGAACGCATCAAGCGCTAATTTGTTACAACCGCCGGCCTAATCGACGAGTGACAGGTGAAGCTTTTTAATCTACCGCTGATTGGTTATAAAACACGGACTGCTGAATTTCAACTTCCTTTCGAGTTCTTTGTTTCTGGTATCAGGTGTGCTTATTGGATAGATTTGCCAAGTTACTAAGTGTCTGTTTAAAAACAAGAATATGGTCACTAGGCAGTATTTTACGTACATGCCAACACGATTTACGGCTTTAGAAGCCTCAAACTTAAATAAAGTATGTGTTTATTTGATTTATCCGAAGTTAGATAGCGTTGCGAATTAGATATGTTTCATTCATTTATAGAGTCAAACTTTGATAAGGGATATGTTGCCTATCCTCTAAAAAACGGTTCCAAATTATCGAGGCCAGAAATTTACCCTAACAGGGCCTCAGTCATATGTAAATTGCAGACCTCTTTACGACGACTATACCACCACCTAGAGTATTTCCCGCGCCACAGAGGAAGCTATACTAGATGGCTGGGACCCACGATCAAATAAAATGGAGGAAGATGCAGGAGATGCGGTAGCTGCTGCTCGTGGTTCATATTCATTTGTGATTTATTTTGGATATATTTTAACCAGTTTTCCTTGAGTGCCATGGTGGTAAGTATAAATTTCTTTCATTTAATTTTACTAATTTTTGTAAACATACCATCTGTTTATTTACTAATATTTAATTACTAACACAATTATTTGTTGCAGCTGTATTCTTTAATTATTCCTCAACAATCCTGGTCACTTTGATGTAAAATACCTGTATGCTGTGTGGCAACTGAATTAGTAGTTTGTTTCAACATGTTACACTTGTGAAAAAAAAAATGGGCTCTCCTTCCATCTTTCCTCCCCTTCCCCCATATTATGGCGGCCAAACAAAACCCTAACAGGGCCTCAGTTGTGTGTAAAATGCGGATTTCCTCCGGCGAACACACTGCAGCAAAACTAGGATTACTTGACAATTTAAAGACATGCAACACTGCAGACGATAATAGCGACATGGCAAGGAGACCATGTGCTTACACTTTTCGGCATGTGCAAAACGTGTTAAACTCACGGCCGATAGTATCCCACACGTCTTTGCGCACAGCGCGGATGGGGGTGCTAAACTAGATGCGTTGGGACTCACAAGCAAATAAATTAGATTAAAATGCAGGAGATGCGGTACCTGATGCTCGTAAGTCCCAGCCATCTAGTTTAGTATCCCCAGCGGCGGATACTGTCGGTGGTGCGGCATAATCGCAGAAACAGGTCCGCAATTAACATATTACTGAGACCCTGTTAGAGCATTTTTTGTTTGCCCTCGATAGTATTGGCCCGTTATTCGGAGCCGATCCTAGTTTTGCTGAGATTTGTTCCTTGGCAGGAACTCCGCATTTTGCATAGAACTGAGGCCCTGTCAGGGTATTTGTTTGGCCGCCATAATATGGGGGGGGGGGTCGAAGGGGTGCCATTACCACCCTTCTGGCTTCTCATGCTAAACCCCCTGGCTGGGAAACTATTGTAAACTACAAAATTAATGATTTGGAAATATGAAGGAAGAGCAAGAGAGAAGGACTGTCCTGATCCAATCTCTAAATTTAGTGATCATCATGATGCTTATAGCTTATTGGCAAGACAGACAGTGATGAGTGATTCACTGGGTGAAGGTTGAGACCGAAGGAGGCACTTTACTTTAAAGAAAAGAAAAGTTTAAAAAAATATAACAATATAACTACTACTAGGATACCGTGACGGCTACATTAGGTGAAATGCCTTGTAGTCCTGCGGAATGGTAAAGTGGTTTACTAAGAAGACGCTGAACTTCAGCCACGAGACACGAAATTAACAGTGACAGTCATTATTTTTGTTTGGTGGTGCAGATCAGAACTGGAAAAATAGCCAAAATCATTTTGAAAATGTCGATAATAGGTGTCTCTAATAATTTGCCATATGAAAAAGATGAAAACAATATATATTTATTTTTTAAACGATGAGATATAAGCAACATCGTTTTTAGATAACATCAGTTACTCTAGCACATAAAGTTGCAGACCCGATTATTTCTATGATATCCACAATACAATGACAAACAAGCTTACCTCAGGTTCAATTTCGTTAGCCCACGTTCCAGACATGTTGTTGCACTATGAATGGAAGAGTTATGTCTCCTTGGTCGATACTTCAGCCTGCCGGCTACTTCCTTCAACTTGTTCGTTTCACGTTAGCCTGTTCCACAACTTTAACAGGCTTATTCCCCGCTAAGGTTTCATCGGCTACCATTTTCTGTTTTGCCTTGCTGAGACCGATTGCCCTACCCAACCCCCCCAACCCCCCCCCCCCCCCCATAATAATAATGTTGTAAACGTCGGAGTCAGCCGTCCTTATAGTTTAAGAGCCAACAGTCTGCACACATATTAGCTAGGTCTGTAAAACGGGTGTGCACGCAAAACTCAAGGTCTAGAATAAGACTAAAATCCAGGAGCAGACGAACGACCAGACCTGAACAGGATATTGAATAATGTTGAGCAGGATATCGTTGTTTAAATTTCCGAATCTAAATTTGTGGTAGATGTGAGTGTGTGTGTATGTGTGTGTGTTTAGTGTCCTTTAAACACTTTTATTCTGTTTGTTTCCAGATATTTATTTAACTTGAGATGTAACTGTCTCCCCTAGTGTAAGTAATTGTGTTCATGAAAAAAAAAAGATAAATATATATCATAACAAACTGATGGGATGAATTTAAGACCCGTGACGGAATTGAATGTTGAATATTGAATTAAGAATCGACATCACAGCACTCGGGACACCTCTATAAGTGCTCAGTCCCTATCTTTAGCGGCAAGCTAAGACTTCCAATTCCGATGGTACCAGTAACCGTCTGACAGCATATCAGTCTCATCCATTCCTTCGGTGACCAAACGGAAATGACCGAAGTAATGCAAAGAAGATGGAGAAATATTGGGTACATCACGAAGAGAAAAGAGCATCACCGAACGGGTAGTGAAATGGGAAATAGTCGTTCCTAATTTTCTAATTGTTCATAGACAGTGTATTTCACTCTCTGGAGATGTGAATATACAGAAGAATATGTTGTATGTCATGGAAACCAAGACAATCAAATAGAGACGTTCTGGAGAGACTGAATAAAAAAGTTTGTGAACAAATTTTAAGAAAGAAGCATGTAAAAATTTTGGCCAGTTAAAATATGTTACACTTTTATATTAACCACACTGGGGAGACGAGTTGAAGACAAGAGTTGGTCAGTGATACAAGCGAGACGACGACATTAATAGACGGACGAACAGCAATCTCAAAGAGTGTACTTCCAGCATCCGATTTATTAGTTTATTTATTTATCTATCTATCTATTTTCTTCTTCACTTTTACCGGGTTGCAGCCCAGTATCGTGGTTTAAAATATTTGTTTTATGCCTCTCGCGTGATTTGAGTGACAGTTTTCTGGATCTTCTGGCCGTATTCAGCTACTCCATCTATCCATTTTTTCCTGGGTCTTCTCTGGCCTTTCTTCCCGATGTTCTACTGTAAAAGGCCTTATAGGCAATCTGATCCGGTTGCATTCTTACTAAATGGCCAAACCACTTCATTCTCTGGCTTTCAATATGTTTCATGCATGCTCTTGTTCCAACTTTGTCTCTAATGCTGACGTTTGTGACTCTGCCTCTTCGTGTATTGTTGGTGACTCTTCGGAGACATCGCATTTCACACGTAGTTATTTTTTGCATGTGTGATTTGTTCATTGTCCACGTTTGGCACTGATAACATAACGTAGGGATGAAAATGATGTTGATCATCCGTTGTTTGGCTGGTAACAAGATCTTTGGATGACGAAGCAGTGGGGCTAGTTGGTAGTTGACTGCATTGGCTTTTTTAACTCTAGCTTGTATCTCTTTATTGAGTCTTCCATCTTCTGTAAATATGCATCCTAAGTACTTGAATTCTTGAACTTGTTCTAATTGTATGTCATCGATCTTTATGTTTATATTACTGTGTTTCTTTCCTATGGTCATTACTTCAGTTTTTGAGGTGTTTATTTTCATGTCAAATTTTGTACAGTTAGTGAGCAATGAATCAACATATTGTTGCAGAGTTGATTTATAATGATCTAAATGTACCATCTAGATTGTGCTATATCTTGGAACACAATTTAAGTTCGGTTTTATGTATTGTTTGCCAATGTGTCCTTTTCGATATATACATGTATTATTATTATTATTATTATTATTATTATTATTATTATTATTATTAATATTATTATTATTTGTGTGCTTGTCATTTCTATCTTCCCGTGTGAGTTCGGAAACCTTACTGGATGGGCTGTGTGATAGTACAACTTCCTCTTTCAAGCATATCGTAATATGCGAATAAGTTAGGGTTTGCTGAAATCGGATGTTTTAGGCGCAGATATTGCAGCCGAGCTGTAAACCACAACACAGTGTCAAAAACTCTTTTAAGGACGAACATAACAGAATTGTTCTTTATTTTCATTTCAAAATACCCAGTTAGGTCTTCTCTTTTCTTATCATGTATCTTGCAATTAATTTACTGTAATATTACCTTGTAGATCTGCAGCATTATGTTACAAAAGCTGGTAACAACTAGGATAGGCGTGCTTATATGCAATAGGTTAGTTGCGTATCCTTTACAGGACGTTGCAGAACCAACCCCAACAGCTCCTAGCTGTTGTTTGGTTTTTCTAGGCAAATTTACGTCCAGTAGTTTGCCATTGCATCTGGACGGTCGGCTTTCTTGATACCGCTGTCGAAACCAACGCAAGGCGCATGGCCCGCAGCTTGGATCGAACCCGGCATCCTGGCATTACGAAGCTTGAGCATCGACTTAGCCACAGAGCCGACATATATGCAATAAGTGCTTGAAAATAGACCGTCAAGGTTTATTGATTGACGTTTAACCCCACCAGGACCTCACACCGAGCGATCAAAACCCGATGACACAAAGTGCCACCATTCGGATGAGAATCACCAAGGGACAGGTCCCAGAAACCCAGTTAAACCCATAAATTGAGTTATATTAGGGCATCCGGCAACAGCCAGGGTGAGACTTTAGAACAACAACATTGGGACGCTCCGTACTATAGATCATAAGTTTACTGAGCTGACAAGTATTGGTAATTGATTGTCATCATCATCATTTAATTATTTAACAAGATATTTTATAGACTAATCGGCACTAGGTGGGTGATTTGGTCAACATCACGCCGGCCGCCTTTATTTTCCGGGACGAACATCGTTGCATATGTTTACCGACTCTTTTTCTAAGGTAAAATACTTTGTACCTGTATTTCTCTCTCTCTCTCTCTCTCTCTCTCTCTCTCTCTCTCTCTCTCTCTCTCTCTCTCTCTCTCTCTTTTTTTTTTTTTTCTTTCTTTCTCTCTCTCTCTCTCTGTGTCTCTCTCTGTCTCTTTCTCTCTCTCTCTTTCTCTCTCTCTCTCCCTCTATATATCTCTCTCTGTCTCTCTATCTCTCTTTCTCTCTCTCTCTCTCTCTCTCTCTCTCTCTCTCTTTCTCTCTCTCTCCCTCTATCTCTCTCTCTCCCTCTATCTCTCTCTCTCTCTCTCTCTCTCTCTCTTCTCAATGACCCTCTTCTATTTCCTTGAGCGTACTGAGTGTATAGTGCTAGGCCTATACTTCATAGACTAATTGGCACTCAGTGAGTCAAGTGGTTAACATCACGTCGGCTGCCTTTTCTTCCCATTACTTTACTTAGTTCCCATTTTAGACTGGGTCGACAAGGTAACCACGGTAATTTCTGAAGACGAAAAAAAATCAAATTCTCATACTCTTTATCTTTTTTGTAAAACTCCAAGCAGTCAACAAGGCAAGACCACCCAGGTCTACTTGAGCAAGCTGTCCACGCCGTGACCTCTCCTCATCTGCTCTACCCCATGACCCAATTCTCTGCACCTAAGAGTTCAGTGACTGATGATATCCTTGCCACACCTGGGTTGAGGTATAACTGGTGACAGGCATACCTGTGATTATAGTTCACACTAAGAATTTCAACTGAATATCACAGCTTTTTGTTGAAAAATATTCAGGTGTTCCAATTTTTTTGTTCAGGTATGATATTGCTATTGGTTGGTTGACTTTTGTGAGAAAAAAACCATTGCTAATAAAAACCGTGACCTCTGTCAGAAGATTTAAAGCTGGATACGACCATGTTCAAAACACATCACCTTGTGACCGTGGGTTTTTCTCTGAGCCATTGATTCGATTATAAACTATTTCAAGTGCACTTTTGTGTATTTTGTGATATTCGCCACACAGACAGGTAAATCATTACATATATTAGAATTAACAATGTCGCTTCAACATCCAAGAAACAATTTAACGACTTAGGGATCTTTTTATTCTGCATTGTTTTCATAATCACATGAATAACAAAGTCAAATTATTTACAGGCATACACTGATAATGGTATGCCAAAGTCAACAGACAAGGATAAAGGGTAAGCATTTTTGAAGAGATTTATATTCCAAATTGATCACAATGAAAGGGAGATTAGAAATTCAGTTAGAGTTAATCTGTTAAATACTATAAATGATAACTATTTTCAGCATATCATTATAGCGTGGGGGGAATTTAATAAGAATAAACTCACAGGGAGCAAGTACAGCGGGGATCTACAGTCATCAGTAGAAATTATCCTCTTTCGACACACGTTTCGGCCCACGATTCCTAAACGTATTCGGAGGTGGGCCCACCTGAGTTCATGAAGCTCAGGGCTGCTTCCCCGCCGCACAGAATTGCCGGATGGTGTTATACTTTCGGCCAGAGACAAGACGACTTGGTGGTTTCGAAGGAGGTACTGTGAGATAAGAAGCCGCCACGGCAGCTTAATTAGAACAGTCAGCGTGCCTGGACGACCGAGCGACAAGCTTACTTTGGTTTACCGGACACATCTTGGACTTTTATTAGCAGTTGGCAGAGGAACACTGGCAGACAATTCGGACTCGATGGACTTTCAAAGGGATAAGAAACTCTTTTCCACTAGATACCCGGACCAGCTCACCGAGGCCCGTCCCCTACGTTGTTGCGCTGCGTCCAAAGCCAGCTGGATGCCCTTTCGGCCAACTCACCAAGTTTTTTGAGTGCCCG